TTATTAACAAAAAATAATAAATGTTTTTTAAAAGGGGCTGCTCATTGTTAGATGGCCATTAACTAATGTTAACAAATGAGACCTTATTGTGAAGAGTTACTATTTTTTTTTAATCATTCTTCAGTACCATCATGTTAAACGGTGAATTTCTTGTTTACAGATAAAAGTGGGACACAGAACCGAGGCGAAAGATGGTGAATTTTGAATCAATCTTAATCTTTAATATATATATACACACACACAGCAGTTTAAATTGAGTCTTACATATTTTCTTCTATTATCCAGGCATCAACAGAACAGCTCTTCGAGAGATTAAGTTGTTGCAAGAGCTCAGTCATCCCAACATTATTGGTGTAAGTCATATCTATATGCATATAAATCTTTGATGTTTTGTTGTTAATTATGGCATAATACTGACATCAATGAACCTGTTTTTGCTTTCAGCTCCTGGATGCTTTTGGACACAAATCCAATATCAGTCTTGTCTTTGACTTCATGGAGACGGATCTCGAGGTGACGGCAAAGGAATGCACTTGGACATATATTGTTCATTTCAGTAATTTTAACAAAAAACCTATCACAGAGCAAAACCATTAAGAATAAAAGTCAATGTCAACACAAAAACAAGCATGATGTTTTTCAGCTCTATCATTTGTTTGATCAGTGCTATTACAATGAATAATATAAGTACATTGTTGCATTATGGTCTGTTTCAGGTGATCATAAAGGACACCAGTCTCGTGTTGACGCCAGCCAATATAAAGGCATACATTCTAATGACATTACAAGGTCTGGAATACATGCATGATCATTGGATCCTGCACAGGGTGAGGCGCTGAGATATCTGCTCTGTTTTTAATTATGAACACTACCGTTCAAAAGTTTGGAGTCAGTAAGAATTTTTTTTAAAGAAAGAAAGAAATTCATACTTTTGTTAGGCAAAGATGCATTAAATTGATCAAAAGTGACACTGAAAACATGTATAAATTGATGTCGCAAAAGATTTATATTTCAAATAAATGCTGTTCTTTTAAACTTTTTGCTCGTAAACAAATCCTGGAAAAAAAACAACTAAGCAGCACAACTGTTTACATAATTGATAATAATAATAAATGTTTCTTGAGCAGCAAATCAGCATATTAGAATGATTTCTGAAGGATCATGTGACAATGAAGACTGGAGTAATGATGCTGAATATTTCAGCTTTGTAATCGCAGGAATAAACTACATTTAAAATATATTCAAATAGAAATTTTGAAATAGATACAAAAAACAGTTATTCTAAATTGAGATTTATAATATTTTTTTAAAAAAAGTTTTTTTTAACAAATAAATGTCGCCTTGTTTCAAAAGGAAACTTGTTTCTGCCACAGAATAAAATAAATAAAAAAGGTAATTGCGACCTTTCTCACACAATTCTGACTTTTCTGACTACATAAACTCGCAATTGCACGAAAATCCTGCAATTCTGATGGTTTTTCTCATTATTGTGAGATATAAAATCGCAATCGCAAGTTACAAAGTCTGATTCTGAGAAGAAAGTTAGCTCACAATTGACATTATCTCGCAATTTTGACATTTCTCAGAATTGCAAGTTCATATTTAGCAATACAGACTTTATATCTCACAGTTGCGAGTTGCAAATTCTGAGTAACAAAAGTCAATTATTATTATTATTTTTTAAATCTGTGGTGGAAACAAGCTTCCATAAGCAAAAGAGACTTCTTTCAAAAACATAAGAAACACTTACCAACCCCAAACTTTTGAATGGTAGAACTACTTGACTTACTCCCAAAAATGAAGTTCCTGTATAAAACTGGCACCTTCAGTCATCATAATAATTTTTTCAGGATCTGAAACCCAATAATTTGCTACTGGATGAGAATGGAGTCCTGAAGCTTGCGGATTTTGGCTTAGCCAAAGCATTTGGAAGCCCAAACAGAGTGTATACACATCAAGTTGTAACAAGGTTTGTAGGAATCTCTGATAATTCTGACGTGTTAACATTTACTATATAACTTGGATCTTCTTTATTATGCTATTGTTTGATTTTTTTTCATGTTGTGTGGTACTTCTCAGATGGTATCGTGCCCCAGAGCTGCTCTTCGGTGCCAGGATGTACGGTGTGGGTGTAGACATGTGGGCAGTTGGCTGCATTCTTGCTGAGCTTTTACTCAGGGTGAGGATCTTTGTACAGTGTTTGTAAAGCCATTTGGCTCTTTTGAAAACCAATCAGACCGTTAACATGTATTTTAAAGTCAGCATGAAATGGATGTAACGTCACAATAGAGAAGAACTATCGCAACTTCCGAGTAAAACGTCTTCTCAAACAAGAAAAAATGTGGGGCGGGACTTGATTTTGTCCATCGGGAATTGATTGGATTGTTGTGGTTTGCTATTGCTGTGATGTCATGTGAGTGACAGGTTGTCCTGCCCTCGCACCAGTAAACACATCATCAGAGAACAGAAGAGATGTTGCTGCAAGAGGGAGGGGAAGTTATTATGGTTAAAGATTAAGAGGAACCAAATGAAAAATGATGAACATGAAATTTAAAAACAACATAATAATATGCATGGATAAATCATTCATAATACTGCAATATACCATTAAAAAAAACAAGAATTGGACATTTTGATTTCATGGTGACTTTAAGAATGATTTGTTCTTGTATTTTAGTTGCCATTTTTGGCTGGAGATTCAGACTTGGACCAGCTGACGAAGATATTCGAAGCTTTGGGAACACCAACAGAGGACACATGGCCTGTGAGTTGTACGGTAGTTATCTACTTATTTGTAATGAGAGCGTTTTATTTCAGCTTCATTTCCTCGTGAAAGCAAAGCATCAAGGCCTGTTCACACCTATAACGATAACTATTTTAGCATCCACACTATCTTTATCGTTCTTGGTGTGACTGGGCATTTACTTGAGATACTATAAAAGGACACATCATTGTTTCATATGTCTAATCTTTGAGGCTTTGAAATATCTGTATGTCTAAATGAGGTAGACACAGTGATTTGTGCCGGCTGTTGTTTCAGGGGATGTCCAGTCTCCCAGACTATGTGTCATTTAAACTATTTCCTGGCACGCCACTGGAGCACATTTTCAGCGCAGCTGGTGATGACCTTCTGGAGCTCCTGAAAGGGTTATTCACCTTTAACCCCTGCACACGCACTACAGCTTCACAGGTGCCAATAACCGGGTTGCAGTTTAATCAACTTAATCTTAATGCTTAAAGCTAATCTACATTTAGAGAGAGTGAACGAATGTATACTGTGGTTTCAGGCTTTGAAGATGAGGTATTTCAGCAATAGGCCAGGACCAACCCCGGGACCGCAGCTTCCCAGACCAAACTCCTCAACAGAAGTCCTGAAAGAAAAAGAAAACCTGATGATTGGAATCAAGAGAAAACGTGACAGTATTGAACAGGGTGAAAAAAACATGCACAAACACTTGATAAATGCATCTGATAGCGTGTTTGTTTCTTTAATGGAAATATCCGTGTTGTTTATATTAGACAGTGTTCCAAAGGAAATGCTTATTTGTTCAGAATAATCAATTCCAGTGCTGCTTAACATATAAAGATCAACAGATAAATGGAAGTTGCTGCTCTGTTTAGATTACACTGATATATAATGGATTAGGATAATGTATAATGAAAATTGTGTCCCACATGGTAATGAATGTTTTTAAAAAATGTTTTATTCCTATTCCATTTCTTAGGTACCCTTAAAAAGAAACTGGTGTTCTGAGTGATTTGGATGCTGTTTTCTTCCACTGGTCCTGCGTGAATGGAAAGGAACGTATTTATGTGTCAATCAGTTTTTTCAGTTATTTTTTTATGTACTATAAATATTAAATTATAGAACAATTTAGTTTTGCTTGTTGTCTGTTTTAATTAGTTATGCACATCACCCCCATTTATGTCACTAGTATATTCAGTAATCATTTTAGCAGTTACAAAAAGCATTTACATTTTTAGTAATAATTACAACCAAAAAATACAATAGTTGTATAATAAAAATGAAAACTAATTTTAATAAGCTATGCTTTTAAGGATTTAATGTCTAGTTAACAGATTGGTGTGTCCAGTGTTCTTTGAGGCAGTTTGGCTTGTTTTGAAACTGCATCAGTAGTCCTGAGTGAGGTGCTGTTGTGTCACAGACCTGCCTGTATCTTCTCTCTGCTCTGGCAGTTCGCTTTGTCAGAGAACTGGCTACACTTCACCAACACTTTGTGATATGTTGAGAGTTTAAGATTTACAGTTAGCATTTCTATAACCAAACACCATTTAAAACCCATTAGTATTACATAAATTATATATATCAACGTCGTTTATTGAACCCACTCACTTACTGTTGAAAACAGATGTTTGCAACTTGCATACTTTACACACGGTGTCAAACACAGTTAGGAGAGGCATTGTTTTGCTGTCACTGCCAGCCAACTGGAAAACGATTGTATGAGCAAATCCAAACCCTTACGAAAATTAACCATGGGTTTTATTGTGGTAAAAGTGTAGTAAGTAACAATGTTTTTTTGGCTGATTGATTATTTGTATAACCATACTTTTACTCCAAATTCCATGGTTAATTTGTGGTTACCATGGTTTAACTATGGTAGCCATGTTTTTTTGGTTTTATTTGTAGTAAAACCATGGTTAATTTTCGTAAACTGCCACCCATCAACCGCTATACATATGTAAACAATACAAGTAAACCCACATTTTTGAAATTATCTAAAACAACGATATCCAAATTAGAATAACAGATACATAGTTTAAACGTGTTCCTGTTCCCTAGAAAATGTTGGTCCGGTCGGGCTACAATAGGGCTTTAAATACATGTTTTTCATTGTCATTGTGTTCAAGGGAAATTCGAAACCTCACATTATGACGATAGCGGAAGTGATACAGTGATGACATTATTTGATTTGGATGCAAGATCAATACTAAATTGGTTTAAACAACAAAGCACCAATGTAACCCAAAACGCATCTGTGATTTCGGATTTATCTCGGTCACCATCTCGCAGACTTCCGCACGCACTAGTCTCGGACAGCTCTTGCTCGCCTCGCACACACGTCACACAGTCTATTGTGAGCAGCGGCGCGCGTGCAGGACTGATCGCGGGAGCGCGAGAGCACAGAAGACAAGAACCACGGTCGTGTTTTTTAGAATCTCACGAGCAAAACATTTGAACTGGATTAGTGTGTGTAAAGGAGGATTTGCCTCGCTGTCAGCATGTGTACCGCGTGTTGTGTGTCTCAGGTGAGTGATGCATTTACTGTACAGCATGTAGAAACATCATCGTCGTGAACCGCGCGGAACACTCGGTTTCCCATTATTATTTTCTATAGCATTTGATGCTGATGTACACATATGCTTTAGAAAAAGTTTAATAATAAAAGTTCCGTTCTTTTAAAACGTGTGATTGTTGTTTGTTAATAAGTATGTCAGTTTCAAATAGGCTACACAAGCAGCTTTTTAGTGTCATCCTTGTTTGTTGTATCAGTTAACAGACATGAATTCTCGATAGCAAATTTGCTTTACATAATTTTTGCATGGATATATAAAACATATTTTCATAAACTCCTTATTTTAGTCCAGTATTTATTTGACAGAGCTAATTATTTCTTAATTTCAAACCCGACTATGAAGATGCTGTTGAGGGGAAAATGCTTAAACCAGCCTAAGACGCTTTGATGGTCTCCCAGCCTGGTCGAACTGGTCTGTTGCCTTGGTTTAGATGGTTTTGTGTCATTTTTCAGCTAAACGCCAGTTTGGCTTGGCTGAAAGACCACATCCCACATAAAACTAGGGGTGATGGTTTCCGCTGACTGTATAAGATAATGTTTCCATCAACTGTGGTGTCAGTGTTATCCAACCAGAATTGTATCATGACTTGTTCTAACGGTCAGGAAATTATGTCATCACTATGATTGATCATGTTTCAGGTTCCTTATTTTGTCCTCATTTAACATTCTGGTCAGAACAAATTATTTCCCTGACTCCCTGTCTGTCCTTGTTTCCAAACGAGTAAATGAAATTTGATCAAATTAACCTAAATAAAACAGATGGTATTGGAGGAGACTCCACCTGGAAACCCTTCAGGTCTAGATATGGAAAATGAGTGATACTTATAATGTAATTGTCTACTTCACATTCTCAGTGTACTAATTTCTATGAGGGTCTTGTAGCCCCTTTGTACGCGGTGGTGTCCACGGGTGGTCTTTTCATTTCCTGGTTGGATCCATGTGGCTGCTTGTTTGCATAAGATTAGCAATGGAAAGAGAGAGCTTGCAGTCAGTGTTCAGCATCAATAGTGTTGTCTCATTAGTGCTAAGCTTGTCAGGAGCCAGTGGCCCCACAAATGTGTGGAGTCGGGGGGGATTGGCTTTGCGTAGTCTCAGTGTTTGTTAACTAATTGCTATCATTGGATAACCCGCTTAGTTTAACTGTTGATTCAACTTTGACACTAATGTAGCCTATTCCCTCTTTATGGCAACGACAACAGCAGCGTTTATTAACATTTGTAGATTCCGTATTCAAATGAGCATTAAACAACCTCACAAGACAACACCAAATTCAGTGCGCCTTCATTTAAATGGTTGAAATCACGATACTGTCATAATATCAAAGCAATTAAAGTGGCATAACACAGGTTGGACAGTATAATTTAGCTGTGTTGTCCATAACTTAAAGCGGTAGTTCACGCAATAATGTCATTATTTGCTCATGTTGTTCCAAACATGTATGACTGACTTTGTTCGGAACACATACAAATGTATTTTGAAGAGTGTTTTTTTTCTACTGTTTTTTCAATACAATGAAAGTGAATGGGGTCCAAAACATAATTGGGGCCTACTGACTTTTTCAATGTAATGAAAAAAAAAAAGAAAGTCAGTCATACAGATTTGGAACATCATTTTTGGGTGACCTGTCCCTTTAATACAGTAATTCTCATAAGATTAGGAGAGCATTGTTTCATTTCTGTTCATTTCATTGTGTTGTGGGTTTTTGGTCAACTTGTACTTCCACTCTACACCACTATTTAATTGTCAGTTTTATGGTACCTTTTCAAAACTCTTTTACACTTATTTTGTTGGTGTATAGTCAAGCTCTTGTTTTTCCCCTTTATTAGACAGACCTGTTCCCATTAAGAACAAAAACTCTAAAGATACGGATAACTATTAGCGTCCACACCAATGTACAATAACATTATGATAAAACCCCACAAAGTGATTATGACTGTAATCCATACGACCCCAATGGATATTAACATTGAAGTGAAACGATATTTGTGTGAGGAAAAAGACAAATATTTTAAACTTGTATTTATATTAGTATTTTTCTAATATTTTATAAGTATATATTTAGTATATATATTTATTTTATTAGTATAATATTAGTATTTTTCGAACACGTCGCCTATCATCTCACTCCAGAAGACGTTGATTCATCCACTGGGGTCGTATGGATAACCGTTGTGATCGATTTGCTTGGTTTTTTAAGCGTCACCTTTTGTGTTACTAATCCACTTGCATTTTATGGACTCACACAGGCCCCGTTCACACTTGGTATTAAGATGCGTTTTGGTCTTTCAGATCACAAGTAGACAATGGAGACACATTCCCGTTTATACCTGGTGTTTTAATCCGTTGCTTTTGTCTACTTTCAACCACTTCTGTCCTGATTTCATTGAGGGGAGGGCCTATGGGTGGCTAAATGTTTGGGCTTTTTCAGACCTTTCGATTATGGACAAAATAAGCTTGTACAATTTGCATATGAACACGACCGGAGAAAACAGAAAAACATACGGAGAGCAGAAGCTTACATTTCTTCTCTGATAGCCGAAAAGACCATGCCGAACACAGTGAGTGTGTGTTAGAAATCAGGACAGTGTTGTGTTCAAGCATTTGAAAAGGTTCTCAGTTCTTACGAATTTGTCTTTTTGTCTTGTCCTGCTGGGAAAATGTTATGTAAATCTAACTGATTTCTCCTTCAGATGTCTGGGTCACTTAAGGATGACTGTCCCATGAATCAGTCGTAATGATGCATTCTGCATAAAAAAGCTGGTTTTATTGCCCAGTAATATTGTGCTGTGTAAACGTTCATGGCTTAAGACAGTACTGTTGCAGCTTTGTACTGGAAGGGTCATTATCTCATTTTCTGTTTGTAATTTATTGAGTGACACACTGTTCTTGTGCAGGCCTTGACATAACTTAGATCTGATCTGTCTGAACTCCCACATTAGAACTCCAATGACTGTGTTGCGTCTACAAAATGTGCATTATACTATAGGAACAATTTATGTGGATTTTCACACGTTCCTCAAATCTCAGCTAGTGATTTTTTTTCTTCTTCTAGTGATCTGAAAGGTGCCGTTTGTGGAAGGACTGTGTTGACTTTTTGGGTAGCAGTGAGACATTCTCACCCTTCCACACAGCCTTTATGCATCTCTATCGCTCTCCCTCCATTACCATCTTAGAGGGTGTTTACTCTTGTCCCATGAGCCTTTGGGTTACTCTGTATTTGCAATTGAAAAAGCTGTCAAGCAATCGGCATCCATCCATCAACGTTGTGCCATGTGATTCTAGTTGGGAAGGTTTGACTCTTCAGTGTTACTATGGGTACTCTTCACACGGGGGAAAAAAAGCACTTTTTTGTGTACACTTCAAACAGTGAAGTAATACATTTTTGCCTCAGCTGTACAATTGCCTGGCTAACAGACCCACAAAGCAGCTATTCATGACATGGAGACTATAGATTAATTGTCCGCTGAGTTTCGACATGATAGTACTTGAGCTCAGTGATATAATGTGTCTTAATGTTCTTGGCCATTTGCAACATGCACCAAGGATCACTTTAAACTGTGTCCGATTATTTGTTTGGCTGACAAGTAAGGGTGTAATTATACACTTAATCAAGGTTCGATACAATTCACAATACTATCACAATACTTTAAGCCAATTTTTTTTGTTTTTCCCTATTAAAAGTTCATAAAATGTACTGTTTGATAAAAAAAACTAAATTTGGTATTACATTATAATGTAGATGCGCTTCTCCTCACAGCAGATCTTCATTTGTGTGTGTGACGGAGGGATTCCTACTGCTGTTTTGACTCCTTTACACATTTTATAAGCTCTTCACGAATTCTCAGGCTACGCACATACAACGAGCACATTTAGCCCAGCACACAGCATAGTTTTGGATGTTCAGTAAGTTCCCTCTCAAAATAGGCAACACATCATACAAGCCGACCAATCAGGTTGTGAATGTATCCTTATGTCTTTAGGTTTGGTGATAAAAAATCCCAATCTGAACGCTTAGTGGACCAGAACTAAATGTTTTTTTTTGGTCCAGACCAAACTAACCAAGCCAACTGAACTACAAGTTTGAACACACCCTTAGATTTTTTTTTTCAAAATAGGAAATTCTGTGTGATAATTAAATTTTTCTGCAAATTGGTCCATGTTTTCCACACCGTGGAAATCATAGGGCCCTAATTCTAGCCTGTGCTTGAGTTAGCTTTTTTCCCAAAAATCATACTACTGTGTCTTTGTAGAGTCCAAACTCATTGCACATGTTTGACTGCCTTACTATTTTTTTATTTTTTTATTAAAGGATGTAAAAGTAACTTTTTTTTAGCATCCAGCAGTTCTCTTATAGCTTTAGATCTTTATTTTATGGTCAGCTTTGCTGCGGGGTGTAAACACAGCGGGACTACAAACAAACCTAGAATCTGTTTGCTACAACACAACGTTCTTCCAACTTTTGGATGCAGTTTCATAAAGGTCCTCCACACACTTCTGTGGAGCTTGAGAAATTCCCAGCTCGAATTGTTAGGAAAACAATGTCCATAGGTTATTGTCCTTACCAGTAGTCTGTCACCTTTCACCCAGACCCCTGCTGGTTGCGGGAGAGGGTAAGAGAAGGGCTCTTTGTAGGGGGTTGAGAACTGTCTCCGGGGCAAGAGATGTGGGGGATGGTTTGTTTGCGAGAGGATGTAGAGTGCTGTCCCACCACTCGACCGGTGTTGACCAATGAGTGGGACTCCGTGGTGCTGTGGAGAAATGGGTCTGTCATTGGTCGGGGTCATACGTGCTGGCCACCTGGTGTCTGGAGAGGGGGATGTGTCCTCCTGATTTTTGGAAATAGTGTGCCTGCCTTTGCTGTGATTCCTGCTGTCTGTGTCGTCACATAGTTAATATGATATGCCGTTTACTGTCAAATTCATGAACCTTTAGACTTCTAGTGCTTTCTAGAGGAATATCAGCATTATTGTCTTGATTTCTTAACTTTTAGGTTGTTGAAAATAAAGATCCCATTCCCAACAAGTATAAATTAGTGTGTGTTTTTGGATAACACCAAATTAAATATGAATGATTTCTTTAATATTGACAAATCATGCAATAAAACATTTTTATAATAAAAAAAATCACTTCTGGGTAGATGATTTTGTAATTTATAAAATATGTAACATCACATAATATTATAATTATTATTAAAATAACCATAGGAGAATGGCAACAGAATAAGTCAAAAATGGTATGATCTAGAAACCTAAATAATAATACACATTTACATTATATTATATTTAGGTATGCGTGATATATCGGCCACCATATTGGTATCAGCTGATATATGTTCATTTTTGATATTATCATTATCGGCCCGATAAGAATATTTGGCTGATAGTGATATATTAAAGCCGATAAATAATGTATTATTTCCTTCAGCTAAGACGCAGTTCAGATGCACACTGGTTGCCATGATGGTTTTAAATTGCTTGAAGTATGATTGAAATCACTTCCAAAAGGAAAATACACTTAAGTGCAACATGTGCAACGCAAGTCTTTTAAATAGGCTACATAAAATTATAGTGAGAACATGTTGGTACATGGCTTTTAATGGTGAGATTAGTGTTTTTGTAATCAGGCTCTCAAAAATAAAAAATTTGGATTTAGATTTATCTGACAATATATCAACAAAAAAAAAGTAATATCAGTGCATCCCGATATATCCCAAGATATTATTTTAAACATCATAATATAAATGCATCCCTGGCTAATTATATTTAAGTTATTATTTTAAACATCATATTATAAATAATTTGTTCCAGTTGTGAAATGATGGTAATGATGTGAAAAGCACCAAATGATTGGAGCTCTTTCCTCTCTTTCTCTGCTTGCATGATCTTGTCTGCAAACTGCAAATGAAGAGATAAAGGGATTTCCAGGGCCGTTTGTTGATACTGCATCCCCTCAATCTGATCTCAGAGCCTCATGTTATGTCTGTATCTTGCGTCATGTGATTTAAGCTGCTTCATAGTAACAACAGCCCAGCTCTACTATTCCTTACAGCCAATAGGAATGAGGCATTTGTGCTGCTAAAGGGAATACCGGCCAATAACATGTTCATAGCCCCCCCAATGCTTTTCCTTAGTTTAACAGTACATTGGTTTATTTAAGCAGCAATTTAAATTCGACTCAATCTTAAAAAGATTGTTTTGTCTTTGTCATTGGTTTACAGTAACACTGCCTTTTTATACTTTTAAGTGTGCAAATGTGCTTTAAAATCCATTGTTTAATTGTAAATCATTGTAATGGTTTGTGAAGGGTTATTGTTAAGCACTTGAACGTGTCCCGCTCACTCATCTGATGTTTTTCTGCAGCTGGCCTGCTGCTGTGGATCGGCTGCCTGCTCCCTGTGCTGCGGCTGCTGTCCCAAGATCAAACAGTCCACCTCGACACGCTTCATGTACGCCCTCTTCTTCATGCTGGTCACGGTGACCTGTGTCATCATGATGTCCCCCACTGTGGAGACGGCAATGCGAGAACATGTGAGTCTTTGTTCAGAGCTTCTCAGTTTGCATTTTTTAGTATCAGGTCCCCTTATATATAAAGACCATTAAATCTGGTCTCAGGTCAGCAGCAGTGGGTGGTAAGTCATATAAGCCTACTGGTTTGGTGTACTTCATTCATATTCTGTGGGCTGTTTGGGGGGTAAAGTCTGCAGAGTAGTGTAAAATGGGTTTAAATGTGTTAATCTGAGGTGAGAGTGCTGCACTCTTGTTGGTAACTAAAAGAATTGTCTAATAAAGTTACTTAAAAACCAAAACTTTAAAAAGTGAACACACAATAGGGCCAGAGATGTTTCTAACTTTGTGAATGACACGCATTGAAAATCTGCGGTATTTTCAGTGGAGGTCTGTGGCCGTAGATTCTGTGTGGGTTTGACTTGTCATCAAGGGGGTAATCCATCGACCGGAAGTTGAAGCCGGCCGGGTGCCGCCATGTTGTAGCAGAACTTCACTTGCGTTAGCATTTCCATTGACTCCCAGTCATTTTGGCGTCACTTTGACAGCGAATAACTTTACATCTGAGGCGTTTAAAGACTCCATTTGTCCATTATTTATTTCTAAAGAAACACGACAATGTATAATGGGCTCCATTACCTTCTATGTTACATTATGGCCCCGTAGAAACAGATTTAGTAAAAATAGGCTAACGATTGCGTCATAACCACTCGACTCTCTGTCGCGCTGTACAGAAATTACCGTACAGACAGGAGGAGAAGCTCGCAGGCAATCGGGGGGACGTCCCGTCAAGGGAGAAGCCCATAGATAATGAGTCCATAAAAGCAACGGAATACTTACTCCTGCTCATTCACGCCAAAGAACTCTTTGCTCAAGTTCCCCGTCTCTGCAAGATTAACGTTGGCAGTTTTCACGCACAGCTACTAGAAGATTCACGTCTGTCAGACAGGTTGCTCACGTCATCAAGCTTAGTTTGAGTCGGTCTGAGTCTGCGCGTCAGGAACGGAAGTTCTCAAAAATCGCTAAAAGTGGGCTTCAACTGTCTCAACTGAGTTCCAATGAGATCGCTCTGTCCATTTCTTTTACTGTCTATGCTTGTCATTTTCTTGCTCAAACGATGCAATGCGTTTTATTACTGAATTTATTACTGAAATTATATCAGTTTGCGGTTCAAATTTAATGGCAAAAACATGTCTTGTTGTACAAACATTTATATACCATGAGTAGAGTCAGATTCAAAAGCAAATTACTTCTATGTTATGTTTATATGCTGTATAATAAATAATAGTTTAACATCAAAATACATTACGAATATGGAAACATTTGGATTCATGCCGAATGAGGGAGGCATAGGCTACGTGAGCCCAACATCGGTTTCCGTTTAACTTTAAATGAATTTGTGTTTGCTTGACGTTTAGCTACTTTTGTTTTTCATCCATGTTCTGTTCTGAATACTGTTACATTTATAGGATTAGGATTTGTTGTGGAGTGAGGGGAACTAAAATAGCTTATAGCTATGTTTATAGTTCTTATAATGTTTGTAAACATTTTGCTTTATTTAACGGTATTTTACATTATTTCCAAATGATTCCCAGACTTATATGCGTCTGTTTTTTCTTCTCTCAAAAACAATTTTATTTGTGTAGTGTATTTATAATCTTGCAGCAAAACATTTTAATATAGCCTATCTTTAAAAATTACTTAAATTACATTTTAAACCGGTTAACTGATAGTATTAATCGGAATTCTTACTGTCGGGTTAACCGTTTAATTATGAGCATCCCTAATTTTATTTCAGTAACAGAATTTAAAATGTTAGTTTTACTTAAGACTTACCACTGTGGATTTACTGGTTTGAACCAGTCTGAATGAACAGATACCGAATCAACAGCTGACTCACTCAGATGATCTTTTTCACTTATGTCTGTCTTGAAATGAAGACAGTTTTGTGTCATTACTGACTACTAGCTGTTCTAAAGACGCCAATTGGCTTTATGCACAGCTTTACTACTTCCTGAACTTCAGCCAGCCCTTTGTTTCCTGTCTGTCATTATTGGACAAACTGATTCATCCAGGTGTGCCTGGCCTCAGTAACAATAATCAGGCACACTTGGATTAATCAGTTTGTCCAATAATGACAGACAGGAAACAAAGGGCTGGCTGAAGTTCAGGAAGTAGTAAAGCTGTGCATAAAGCCTATTAAATTAAAAAACACACACAAAGTAAATCTGGATTCAAATCTCAGAATTTTTTTGACTGAAAAAACCATCATAGCTGTTTTTGAAGTCTATTTCTTCTGGGTTTTTTTTGTTGTTTTTTTTCTTGCTAGATAAGTAAATGCATACTACCTTACTAATAGATTATGTCCTCAACTACCTGGATAGATCTTTTTAAAACCTCAGGGGACATTTACAGCATTTGTAGGGACAGAATATATACGCATTAATTCATTAAAGAAAAGGTCAATGGAGGGATCAAGGGTTTATTTGCAGGCAGCTAGCCCATGTTATTCAAACAAACACAAAGGAGAGCTACATGACTCTTCTGCTTCAAAGCATGAAAGGAATGTAAGAATGCATTATCAATATTGAAAGAATGTAAGAGTATCGATGCTCATAACATCTAACACAGCATAACTCTTTCTGCATGTTGATTGTTCTGTTGCTATCTAAAAAAGGTAACTGAAAGCTGTTGAAATGCACTTAAAGGCTGGGTGTGTAACATGAGCTCAAGCTCTCTTTTTGTTCTCGGCACCACAATGAGTGCTTACTGGGTAAATGCCATGAGTATAAAAACCCTGACACTAAAAAAGACCAGTGCAGTTATAAAAACGCTGCCTCTCGGTGAGGCACAAAAGAACGGCCACTGAGGTGCCAAGACACAAAAAGATTTACAGCTGTTGAAGCTTTTTCACAAATAGTAGTTTCAAATTGAAGAGCACATAAAATCCCCCCCTGGTGGTCTTTCGTGGTTACAACACACGGACGGAGCAAATGGGATAGGAAATGGTGCATTGCTGACAGAGGAACACCTTAACAACCTTATATGATGGTCCATGTTATAATAATAGCAGTGCAATCCAGCATTATAACAGGTCTACAAATTGTACTGTTGGGAACCTAAATATATTTTAGGAATTGACCAGTGCCTGTAGTTTGTGCCAGCTTTCTCTTCAAAACCACAAAAGAGAACCATAAAAACTGGTTTCGAATTTGACTTACCTCTTAGCTGATCTCTGAGAAGTTCTTACAGAAAAAAACATGGTAATTCCATGTTTTTGGACATGTACAATAGTAATACTATAGTGTTCAGTACTTCGAACTGTTCGAAGTATGAATTTGAATATTATATCAGTAAGATTTTTAAAAATGTTTGTAAAGTCTCTAATGCTCACCAAGGCTGCATTTATTTAATCAAAAATAAACACATTAATCTTGTGAAACATATATAATCAAAGTAAATCCAAACTGTGAAATCCTTGCTTAAAGTATACGTTTCTTTAAAAAATTATTCTGAACAGAAGTGTTTTTTTTTTGTTTTTTTTTTGTCTTGTAATAATAATAAAAAATCTAGGACTTTTTACTTGTATTAAAAACATAATCAGCCTTTGAAAGAAAACAATGTTATTTCTTTGTGTATATAAGTTGATCTTTCGACTTCCAGTGTAAATGGGTGTGTAGTACACAGATCGGATTCTGTTTAACTTTAGGCTTGCCCTGAGGCGACTGCATCTATTCTGTTGCTCAAAATGTAAATTTATCCCTGTATTGTTTTGTGCTTTTCTCAGATTCCTTTCTACACAGAAATGTGTCATCAGCTCAATGCGGGGGAGAACTGCAGTACCCTAGTGGGCTATTCGGCCGTGTATAAAGTCTGTTTCGGCATGGCCTGCTTCTTCTTCTTCTTCTCTGTGTTCACCATTTGTGTGCGAACCAGCACAGGATGCCGGGCAGCTGTTCACAACGGGTAAGCGGTCCACCCAAACACATTTGAAGTGGTATTTACACTGGAAACAGTGCTTGTTCCTCCTCTGCTTTGCTCCGTGGCCCCTCTCGGCCCAGGTTCACAGGAGCTATAGGGACCACCGCGTGTATTGTTTGGCCTTCTGCCTCCATCTGTACTCTACTCCTATTGCTCCATTATTCACCCACAACCAAAGCCCTGAATAGAGGTATTAATTTAAAACTCTGTCCTGAGGAAATGGCGCTTGGAGACGAGCTTCATCCCTATGAATGGGATGGTTTAGCCCCACATGAGAGCACTTCATGTTGCAATAATCAGATCTTTGTGTTGTATGCAAATGCAGGGTGAGGAAGTATATGGCTGAACTCAGTGTTTTATCCAGCTCTATCCATAGAAAAACAGCCACAAATCCCTTAATAAAAACCTCATTTAGGTCTTCCTGAAACCACCCTATGATGACATACTAACAAGGGTAAACAGGAAATCTTATACTAGATGACAGTATACTCCCAGAAAGACACTAATTTTCAAGACATATATTTAGTGTGTGTATATACACTATCGTTCAAACATTTACATTTTGTTTTAAAGAGGACTCTTATGCCCACTAAACTGCATTTATTTGATCAAAAAGACAGTAACAGTAATATTGTGAAATTTTATTACGAATAAAATAACAGTTTTCTATTTTAATGCATTTTAAAATGTAATTTATTTCTGTGATGGTAAAGCTGAATTTCCAGCGGCCATTACTCCAGTCTTCAGTGTCACATGATTAAGAAATCATTCTAATATGCACATTTGCGTATTGACAACATTTCTTCTTATTATCAATATTGAAAACAGTTGTGGAAACAAAATTAATTAGAAAAGAAATAAACATTTCTAAAGAACAGAATTTATTTTAAATAGCAATCTTTTGTAACATTATATATAAGTGTCTTTACTGATCAATTTAATGCATTCTTGCTAAATAAAGAAATTAATTTCTTTACCGGTATCTTTAAACTGATGTCTGGATTTCAGAGAGTAAAAATGAAAACAAAAGTTGCTGTGAAAAAGCTGTTCATTGTGAAAAATGAATGTACTGAGTTATTAACAACTGTTTTGATTATTCATATTTTCTAGATCATTTTAATAATTTACTTTAAACTTCAATACAAGTATTTTATTTTTAGACATGTTTTCTTAATAATATCACACTTAATGTTGTTTTTAAACAGTTTCCTGATAAATATTTTCCCTTTATTCAGGATATTATGCCTTAAATCTGTAACAGTTTCTCCTGTTTATTTGTAGGTTCTGGTTCTTTAAGTTTGTGGCTTTGCTGGGCTGCTGTGCAGGCGGATTCTTTCTCCCAAATCAAGACACGTTTCTAGAAGGTTTAGTATGATCTGTTTTCACATACACATTCTTTTTTATAACATGTGCTGCTATTGTTTCCGTGCACCCTAAAGAGGCTTGTTTAGAGAGTTTTATTATATCTACTTTGAGCCTGCAGTAGTGTTGAGATATCATCTCTTAAATGTCCAAGAGCAACAGTGGACCTACAGTGAGCATCTCTTTGTGGTTCATAAACTCCAGTAACTCAAACGGAGTCTTCCATCGCCTGTGTCAATGAGCTCATGACCACAGTCATATTTAGAGGAACGTGACACAAGAACATCTTGAGTTTAAACCCTATTATGCAAATCATATTAAGAGAACAGATGTTATCATTTTAGTGATATCCTTGAATCAGCACACTTGATTTAATGGACGTATATCTCAAATCCTTTAATAAACATACTGAGACAGTACCATATTATTGTAATCAGATGGCACAGATGATAATACCATGGCACTGAATGATTTTCATAAATTTACTAAATGTACCTTATATGTTACATTTAAAAACCACCCTTTAAAATATTGCATTATATTATAAACTATTACCTTAAATTGCTTATGTTACTTTTTTTTTTTTTTTTGATTGCAAAACATGTGTTACCCCAAAGTGAGTGTGCAAGAGAAGTTCATGTATGCTTTTACTGTTTATTAGCTCAAGTCCAAATGATTATCGCTGTTTGGTGTCTCGTAAAATGATTCGTGCTTCCTGATGTGTTTTTAGTACCTGGCGTTTAGCAGAAAGCATTGTTTGTTTTGTCATACAGTATCAGCCAGAGGGAAAGACCTTTGACTCATCTCTCTCTCTCTCTCTCTCTCTCTCTCTCTCTCTCTCTCTCTCTCTCTCTCTCTCTCTCTCTCTCTCTCTCTCTCTCTCTCTCTCTCTCTCTCTCTCTCTCTCTCTCTCTCTCTCTCTCTCTCTCTCTCTCTCTCTCTCTCTCTCTCTCTCTCTCTCTCTCTCTCTCTCTCTCTCTCTCTCTCTCTCTCAGTCTGGCGTTACGTGGGGGCCGCTGGAGGTTTTCTCTTCCTCATCATCCAGTTGATGCTTCTCGTCCAGTTTGCCCACAGATGGAATCAAAACTGGTGAGCCGGCGTTTAGAATGTCCAAAATAACTGTCTGTTTTTCCTTTCTTTTGCTCTTTTCATTCACCAAGTGGAAAACTTATTAGGCTCCAGTACTTTCCATCATCGTATCCAACTGTTTCTTTGGTATGTAATTTGAATCCCTGCAACTGGAAATCATTAGGTCTGGGAATGGAGACTATAGTGTAATCTGATGGCGTTATTTCCACTGTCAAATAGGTTTCATAGCTGCCAGCCGCCAGGGTGGTCCTAACATTGTGCTGCTATAGCAAATGGGGACTTTTTAACACCAGGTTGAAAGATTTGGGGAAAGTTTTACTCTACTTGCTTCTTATTTTAGTCACTGGCACTGTGGAGGACAAAGTGTGAAGTACAAATCACATGGATGGTTGGGGCATTTGGTGTGCTGATTCACTCCCACAACCTCCAGTTTCAACAACAAGCAGAGCAGGTTTCATACCAGTAACAGTTAAAGCGTTGTTTAAAGTTCTCATTCCAAGAACCAGAGCGTTTTGTTTCAGTGGGAGTTTTCAAGACATGAAACATTTCAACTTCGAGACAGTCACGCTGAAAAAAAAAAGCTCCTCCCTATAATGCTTTCATTATAGGGAGCTTTCTCCTCCCTATAATGTCAACAGCAAAACACAAGGCCATACTCTACCGCCACAACACACATTATTTATGAACACACCCAGAGAGCTCTGCTTTAAAAAAAAACAAAAATAATAATAAAAAATAAAAAAAATAGAAAAAAGAAACAGAGAGAGAGCTCTGCTTAAAAAAAAATAATAATAATAAAAAAAAAAAATAGAAAAAAGAAACAGAGCTCTCTGGGTGTGTTCATAAATAATGTGTGTTGTGGCGGTAGAGTATGGCCTTGTGTGTTGTATGGCCTTGTTCTTCTGAAAGTAAGAGGTTCTTGGCTGCTCTCCAGTCTGTTGACAGGAAACCCATGGCAGAGCTCAATGTGCATCATAGTTTCCTCTTTGCTCAACAAATGGAAGCCTCAGCACAAAAGGGCAGAAACATTCAAGACAGTCACAGGGAATTTTGTAATACGTCAAATATGTCCCAAGAAGTAACTTTAATTTGACAAAACCGCCCTTTGGGGACATTTATGATTCAAATGTTGATAAAAAATGATAATTTAAATACATATATATATTATAAAATAAATAAAAACAAAAAAAGTCTTTAAAGTTAGATTTAGTCTGGTTTGTATGTATATATATATATATATATATATATATATATATATATATATATTATACGTATGATTTCTGAAGGATCATGTGACACTGAAGACTGGAGTAATGGCTGATGAATTTTTTATATATTTTATAGTATATTAAATAGAAAACCATTATTTTTTTAAATTGTAATAATATTTCACAATATTACAGTTTTTTTTTTTTTTATAAAATAAATGCAGCCTTGATGAGCATAATATGTATGTATATATATATATATATATAAGAAGAGACAAATCCAGTATTTCCTCATGGAGATGTTGTTGAAATGAAGCAGACGCTGGAGGGCTGCCCAGCAGATGGAAGTCACTCCTGTCAACACTTCTTATGTGCATTACTGAAACATTCCCTCACCCCACGCCTTCACTTATCTTCACTGCTCACTCAGTCATAGTTATCATGCACGGATATGGTACATTTATGATAAAAGCATTCTACCGCTGAGACTAACTTGTCATTTAACAGTGTCTCTTTATCCAAAATGACTTACAGTTGATGAATTTCAGTAAAAGTCTCTTGGGGCAATCTTGGTTTAACAGCTGAAGGAACACAACAGTTACAGGCCATTAGCGAGAAGAACATCAGGATCTCTAGTTGCTCACTGGTCCACCTTAGACTCAGCCTCAGATGGCACACCCACGAACCACCTGGTTAAGTGGACAAATTCTTATATATATTTAAGATATTTAGCAGCAATATACAGTAAGATCTTGACAAAATTGACAGTAAAGACATTAAAGGTGCTCTAAGCGATGTCACACGTTTTTTAGGCCAAAACATTTTTTGTCACATACAGCAAACATCTCCTCACTATCCGCTGGCTGGCTGTCCCCTGAACACACTGTAAAGAAACGCGATCTCTGTAGACAGCCCAGGCTCCACAAACAGCAACAAAAACAAACTGCGGCGACCCGCTCCCCGAAATATAACAAACTGTTCCTGCCAATGACCGACAAGAAGGGTTTGGGGGGTTAGTGCGCGGATGAGGAGGAGGGAGGGTCTAGCTAGCCTCCGTTTTGTTTGACAATAGTTCGAACGTCAACAAGAAGTGACGTCACCCAGGATCGCTTAGAGAACCTTTGAGTACAATGTATAAAGTATAAAAGTCATAAATTCAAATCAAATTCAAATGTCATGTGACACTGAATACTGGAGTAATGGCTGCTGAAAATTCAGCTTTGCCATCACAGGAATTAATTACATTTTTAAATATGTTAAAAACAAGTTTGTAAATTATAATCATATTTCACAATATTACTTTTTTTTATTGTATTTTTGATCAGAAAATGCAGCCTTGGTAAGCATATGAGACTTTCACAAATCCTCAAAAAATCTTAACAACCCCAAATTTTAAGCACACCGTTATATTTCAGTTTGATCTCAGTGTTACCTGATTTCAGATTTACCCACCCCTAAAAAAATGGTTTGTGTTACCTGTTGGCCCGAAGGCCCCTTCTTGTCTAAATGGGCGGTTCTGGGTCACAATGTATGATAGGGAATATTAGCTATGTGGGCCTACCCCTGGATTTGAGATCTAGATCTGAAGGAATGTCTACAGTGAAGAGCTTTTGTCTTATGAAAGGAATGAACGTTGGTCATTATGGAAATGATCCAGCTGTGTTCTTTAATTTGCTCGTCGTCGTCAGTATATCACGCACAGAATTTTCTACTGCTATCGGGGCTATTTTGGAATTGCGCTGTAAATCTGGCCCATTATGTACAATTATCTTGATAATGGAGTTGAAAGACTTCATATAACAGACATTATGCAATTCTAACACACTTGTCTAATGTTAACATGTTTAGAGACTTTTAAGATTTATACTGTTGTTTATTTTAATGTTTATTGCCTCCTTGTACCTCCATTTTAAGTACTTTTTTCGTAATTGCAATTTTGGTAACACTTTATTTTAGTGTCCTTGGCTTGTTTTATATGTTACACGTACTTATTGTGGTAATAGTACATTATGCATAATTATTACATGCAACCAACCCTAAACCAAACCCTATTCTTAACCCAAACCTTATAGTAAGTAAGTGTTGTTAATTAGTATTACTCAGTACTATATAATTACACTGTAACAGGGACACCTTAAAAAGTGGGTTACACTTTATTTTAAGGTGTCAGTGTTACAGTGTAATTATACAATTAAGGACAGAGTAATAATAATTAACTACATGTACCTACTATAGGGTTGGGTTAGGATTATGTTTAGGGTTAGTTGCATGTAAGTATGCACAATTTAACTACCGGTACATATAACGTGTAATAAGGGAACTGTAAAATAAAGTGTTACCAAAATGTCTAACTGCAATTTTTTTTTATAGACAGAGGGACAAAATTGTTTTCATCATGCCACAAAAGCTGAAGTTGTTTTGAACCCACGAGCATTCCTTTGAACCATCTCCAATGTGTCCCTCCACAGGAGCTCAGGAGCCAAATATAATAAAATGTGGTATGCAGCACTGGCTTTTGTCACACTGGTGCTGTTCTCCGTGGCAGTGGGAGCCATGGTGTTTATGATCATGTTCTACACGCACCCAGAGGCCTGCTTCCTCAACAAGCTCTTCCTGGGAGTCAACTGTGGCCTGTGCTTCGTCGTGTCCCTGCTGGCCATCTCGCCCTGCATTCAGACCTGTGAGTTTACCAAGATGCTTGGGGTTCAGTGACCCACTTTTTGTACTAACAAGCAGATGTTTGTTTGATGTCAGGCAAACAAGTTTATTCATAGTGCCTGGAGCTTTTCCCATGTTTGTGCAAGCCGGAGAGTTTTATACATTTAATCATCATGGATTCTCACTAAACAAACCAACGTTAAAGGTGAAACTGAGTACGAAAGTCATTTAAAGATACACTTTTGTCACACGATACACTCAATTGGTTTAAATGCTAAAAGTGATTATAGACATCACAGCATTATAATGTACAGTATGAAAATTGAGAGGATATTGTATATTCATATATTGTGATTTGTTAAAGATTACATTAAAGTGTTCACTGAACGAAGGTGATCTAAATATCGAGATCACCGATATTAGAGGAAGTAAGCATTAACAAATAAATATACTCTATCGATATACAGTATCATGTGGATTTTCTTTTTTTTAACTTAAGTAATACTTTGTTTTCAACATTGATAATAACAATACATTTTTCTTGAGCAGCAGATCGGCATATTAGAATGATTTCTGAAGGATCATGTGACACTAAAAACTGGAGTAATGATGTTGAAAATTCAGCTTTGCTATCACTGGAATAAATGACATTTTAAAATATATTAAAATAGGAAAGTTATTTAAAATTTTAATAATATTTACTGTTTTTACAGTATTTATGATCAAATAAATGCAGCCTTGAACATAATCTTCTTTCAAACACATTACAAAATCTTACCAACCCCAAACCTCAACCCCAAAAACAGGATGTATGAATAAGCATAAACACTCAAACAGACAGTTGTACAAATCTGTATGTGCTGCTATTTACCAACAAATCTGATGTTTTGTCCACACAGTCCAGCCCACCTCAGGTCTGCTGCAGCCCGCGATCATCACCGTCTACGTCATGTACCTCACCTTCTCAGCGCTCGCCAGCAAACCCATTGAAAGTGAGTAAAAATACTCTCGCTTTCACACTCAAACACTGTCTCTCACTCTGTCCTGGGTTTGTCTCTCAGTGGTCTGTGGTGTGGACAGAGCAGTAAACAGAGGCTGCAGTAATGCATCCTATTAAAATCAGTCCTGTGCTCTGTCTCTTTCAGCGGTGGAGGAAGACGGATACAATGTCACTGTCTGCGTTCTTCCCTTTAAATCAGGACTGAAGAACGACACTAACATAGTGACGGGCATCGGAACGGTCATACTGTTCGGCTGTATACTGTACTCTTGGTATGAGCAATGACTATTTTGTTTTCTCAGCCTCACCTTAAAGGAATAATTCACAAAAAAATATCCAAGATCTATACCGGTATTGGTGATAAGTGTGTTATTTAAAAAAAAAATTATATTGATACCGTTATAATAATACACATCTGATAATATTGTAAATATTCCAGTGCCAGGAACTTATCTTGTTGACACTCAACATTGGTTGCCACCAATTATAAAATGAGGGAAAAGAAGACGCAATGTTTAAAATTGTCAGAGGAGCGGACAGACAAAAACAAGACACTCTACCTATACCCCAAAAGAGTTAGAAAAAGATACCCCAGTCTGCAGGAAGTGCCGAAATAAACTCTTAGAAAAAAAGGTTCAAGAGGTTTGCATTGGAAATTCTCAATACGAATACAACCTACGAATCTGACTTCTTCACCATGAACAATTCGAACAACCTCCAGTTGTCAATATAATATAATACAATACTACAGTACCTCTGGGTAATTCCCATCCCCAAATATATAACAATATAATACTAGGGTAATTCCCTTCCCGAATACATACAATACAATACAATACTTAGAAGTAATTCCCCTCCCGGAGTATGGTGACGGTGTCCCGTCAAGAAGCTACCATCACTACCCCAAACCACACGTGAGCACCAGGTCTTTAGCATCTAAACACTCTTCTCAGGTGTACGCTGGCCCGACACCGTATTACAGCCTCACAACAAATGTGGATCCATAGTCTTCCAACACTATCACTGACCCTGCTGTGGTTCTCTGAATGTTGAATCTTTAGTAATTCTATTCCTCAGCTGCGCAGCATATACCAGACACGACTCCCAAGTTGTTCTTTGCAGGAATAAAAGTTTTATTCACAGCCGGGAGCTCACTGGTCACAGCAACCAAGAGAGACTCTCTGACCAGAAATGTACATTTATATCTTACAGTTAAGTAGAAATCAAAGTCACTTAAGTCTCCTTTATTGTGATTGGTTATACTGATTGGTTTGTAATGATCTAAGCTAATCATATGACTGAGTTACGTGGTAAGCACTTTTTGGGTAAGTCTAGATTCTATAGATATACACGGTCTTTGACCAAGTCTGCACTTTTCTGCACATTCCATGTTGAAGTATCCTTTTGACCACTTCTGAAGACATTAAATAAAACATTTCCATCACAGGTTCTATATGACCGTTGGGGTCTTTACTCAATTTTCAATTTTATGCCAAAAAGATTCTATATAATTAAAAATTTCTTAAATGGTTGCATAATACTTTCATGTTGAACAGGAAGTATGGATGTTATGTATGTTTTTATAATTTTAATCATCAAATTTAATTAAAGATTAATTAAATTTAAATCCATAAAATGATCCCATGATGGAAAATCCTAAAATGTTCTATATAAATGAAGTGCCTGACAGAACCCTTTAAGGTTCTATATAACCTTTTCTTCCAAGTTTGTGATGGTCCTAATCTAAACTGCATTCTAAAAAAAACGTATAATACAAGATATTATTGTGCATATGAATCATACACTATTTCAAAAGTAGTTTTTGTGTCAAATTTGAGTAATTTCCTAGGAATCTTCCCCCTTGAGCGTAAAAAAAAAAAAAAACTCCAAAAGTTTTGTTCTTTCATAATCAAACCAAACCTTGTGTTCCACTGAAGAAAAAATATAATACAATTTGGAAAGACATAAAGATGCATAAACGACAGTATGTTGTACTATATGTATGTAACTGTCCCTTTAAATATGCTCAGATGTTTTTAGTCTGGATGCAAATCCCCATAACATGTCATTTAAATGGGTGATCCCAAAAACGAACCCAGGAGGAATAGAAACACGTAATTATCTGGCTATGACAAGATGTTCATTTAGATTTAAAAGCAGGTAGTCTGGTAGGAAGGGAGTGAAGATTAGAAGCTCTCAAACTGTCAAGACGTGAACGCACATGTGTTTCTCATTAACTGCAGACATGTCTGCTGAAGCTCTCTCTTTAGAGCCGCTCCTTTCCACCAGCCATATTTACACACATATGTGATTCACAGCGATGTGTGTTAGTTATCAGCCCAGTGATTCATTGTGGTGTCTCCAGTCAAAATGCTTTTGCCATATTTCCAGAAAAATTGACTTATTTTTTCATCTGGTTCTGTCTTGATGAGTTGTAGTCTTGGGAATGTTCTGCTTTTACATTTGACGGTTAAAAAAGAACACTGCCCCCATGTGTCTGATGTAATTTGAGTTGACACAAAAATACTCTTTCCCTCCAGTTTGATCTCCACCACCAAGAGGAGTTCAGCAGCCTTGCAAGTGTACAGGAACGATATGCCTGAAAATGAGGTGAACCTTTGTTTCTCTCTGCTGTGTTTCATACAACATTACATCAAACTAAATCATCAATCATGCCATCTGTTTTTTTTTTTTTTTTTCAGAGAGCCCGCTGCTGCTTCTGCTGTGTTGATGATACAGGCAAGATGCTTATTTCAACCAACACCCCTTTTAGTATTTAGCAGATCACTTGAAGATTTAGGAATAACCCATTTTCAATATTAATTTGGATGGTCTAGATCAGGGGTGGGGAACGTTGATTCTGGAGGGCTATTGTCCTGCAGAGTTTAGCTCCAACCCTGAAAAAAACACTCACCTGCCTGTAACTTTAGCAATCCTGAAGACCTTGATTAGCTTCAGGTGTGTTTAATTAGGGTTGGAGCTAAACTCTGCAGGACAATGGCCCTCCAGGATCAACGTTCCCCACCCCTGGTCTAGATGGATAAAAGGGTAGATGGAGCCTCTAGGTGGTGAAGAAGAATCACTACAGGTTTCTTAAAACGGGTATTTTATATATATATATATATATATATATATATATATATATATATATATATATATATATATATATATATGTGCTTATTTTCCAGAAGATTATGATGATGAGAAGACCGCAGGAGGGCAGAGTGTGAAGTATGATGAGAAAGATGGCACAATCTACAGCTACTGGTACTTCCATTTTGTTTTCTTTCTCGGCTCCCTCTACGTCATGATGACTGTAACCAACTGGTTTCAGTAAGTATATACAAATCTCTTTTTGTTATTTTTGTATCTCTGAATGTCGCACCAGCTGTCATTTAGCATATTTTGAGTTATTTTAGTAAGGAAGGTTTCTATTCCTCAAAGAAAGGGTGAATAATTAGAAAGTGAATTATCTTCATTGGGTTAAATTATTGTCCACATACGCTGCCGTTCAAAAGTTTGGGATCGGTACGTTAAGTCTCTTATGCTTACCAAGGTTGCATTTATTTGATTAAAAATACAAAACAAACAGTAATATTGTGAAATATTATTACAATTTAAAATAACTGTTTTTTATTTGATTATATTTTAAAATGTAATTTATTCTTGTGATGCAAAGTTGATTTTTTTAGCATCATTACTTAGTCTTCAGTGTCACATGATCCTTCAGAAATCATTCTAATATGCTGATTTGCTGCTCAAGAAACTTTTTTTATTTTATCAATGTTGAAACCAGTTGTGTCAGGATTCTTTGATGAAAAGAAAGTTCAAAACATCTTTTGTAACATTATAAATGTATCACTTTTGATCAATTTAATGCATCATTGCTGAATAAAAGTATTAATTTCTTTAATTTTCTTTCCAAAAAAAAAAATTTCTTACAGACCGCAAACTTTTGAACGGTATTTCAATAATATTTCACAATATCGCTGTTTTTAAATAAATGCATCCTTGGTGAGCAGAAGACATGTCCCAAACTTTTGAACGGCAGTGTATATATATATAAGTACGTAGTATCTGAATCCAAACTTGAATAAGTTTGAATTAAAGTTTGAAATTGATAAATGTTTTTTTTTTTTTTTACATTTCTTACATAAAATAATTAATCATTTAATTAATGTAGTCAGATAATTGTATTTATTTGAGTTGTAATTTTTTACTCTAATTTTACCATCAAATTCCTGTGACCTAATTGAAGCCCAGTATGCAGTTATGAGGAACACCAGAATGCCAGAGGTCACTGTGTATTATTAATATTCATATGATCTTCTCTCTTTGCAGTTATGACAACGCAAAGATCGAGAGGCTGCTGGAGGGGAGCTGGTCAGTGTTCTGGATCAAGATGGCATCTTGTTGGGTCTGTTTATTTCTGTACATGTGGACCCTGGTGGTTCCAATGCTCTTCCCAAAGAGATTTCAAGCCTAGAAACCCTTCACACATGACCCAGTATCACCACTGTCTATTTACAACTACTGTGTGTGTGAGAGAGAAAGAGAGAGAGAGTGAGTTTTGTCTTTTTTATTTGTTTTCTTAGTTTTAGTATAGTAAAGGCTCAAAGGCTGCTTATGTTTTGTTTTAAATACATTTCCATGGAGATTCGTTACAGAAATCATGTTATGGTACCTCCCATACTGATGTAGGGCTCTTGTTTACCTCATAACATGAAGGTATGAAAACAAAGCATTGCTCAGGCTCACACATCACCTGTAAGTGTCTTGCTTGTTACGCTTTTCTGTTGGTAGCTGAAGAATTCTATGCAAATCTGTGAGTTTGTCTGCATTTTTTTATGTAATATTTTTTTTTAGGTTTTTAGTGTTTTTTATAGGTATTGTATTTCACTACGGGGGTGTTTTACTAAGGTAACAAGACTTTTCATTTGAGTAAATGTACCTATTTATTAACTAGAAATGATGATTAGGTAGGACACTGCTGCCTTTGCAAGACCACGGGACTACGCCGTCTATCAGTTGCATGATGGAAGTTGCACTCATGGGAACAAACCAGCTGAGAAATTGCATTGCAAGGTTATTCCAGTACATGTATGTGAATAGATTTACTCATATCTTGTTGCCGTATTTATTGAAGCACCCTCATAGCTTCCTTTTCAGACTGCGCCAAACCAATATTTCCAAATAAGTCTGCAACATTCCTAAAGTTTCCTATCTTTGGGTTTCATCTTCAATCTCAGGTAGTGATGAAAGCTACATATTTAGCATATGGTATTTCCAGTGAATCATACCATTCTAAGTAAAGTATGTGACTGCCATTCCCAGTTAAGCTTTGTACGATGATTTGAGATGGACAGGGAAAACCAAGGCCACAACATTATGCCCCCAAAAACCTAAACTGTCATACAGATTATTATATGTGTGGCCCACAGCAACATTGAAACTATAAATTGTTTTTCTTACTTACTTTCCCAATTTTGTTACAATTTAAATGGTGCTTTAGACCATGGATGTCCTTTAATATTATCTCTCAGCTCATGCACTTGGCTAACAAGCATGCCATTTGTCAAAGAACACATTTATACCATATTTTATACTTATAAAGCATTGTTACAGCTCTGTACAGCTATTGTATTTAATCTTTCAGAGGTTTTTGTTGCTATAAGTGCATGTTTGTGTTTCTTGATTGTGGTGTTCGGTTTACATAGTTTCAGGAGCTGCCCATATTAGACGCACTGTAGCATTCCTGATGCTCCCTGGTAGAAAAAAAAGTGGTTGGCGTTGTCGTTGGTGAAGAAAATACAATCTAGAACTGGAATTATTTTGACATTTTATGGTTATTTCCTGTGTAGCAGTTGTATCTACCCTGAATGTTTTGACCAAACAGACAAACCAAAATCTCTTCAGGATGTCTGAGTCTTTCGCTAGAATTGGAGCTAGCATGTCTTTACTTTGTTACTTTCTGAATAACTTCTCTTAAATGCCCTAAAGAAATCTGTCTGATGATGTTTTTGTAAGTTTCGAGTGAAATCGAGAAAATGATTGCCTTAAACACTACATGTTACAACTGCATCAAGCTATAAGCATACTGTTTTATGTAACCTGTGAATAATTTGGTGCTCAGTATTTGGTTTAACCGTGTTTGTCTGGATTAAACATCATGCTTTCCTTTATTTACAAATATGCTGAACATAAACGTGACATTTAATTGCAATATGTGCTTTATGTAAATAGTCCTTTGTAAAGATGACCACTAGGTGTACTCATAGTATTGCAAACAAAAGTAATCTTGCGCTTTGTGCTGTTGTGCTCACTAATTTCGCATGAAAACATTATAATCCAAAAAATATGTACAGTAAGTTTAAAACAATTATTTTCCTTATTTGTATGCCTTGATTTGTATTATTATTATTTACTTTTCCTCATTATTTCAACAAGTTTCATGAAGGGTCAAATGAGTTTAACTGTTGCAGGATCAAACCCATATTCTTTTTAGTGTTTTTATTGATATTTCCAGTTCTTTCAATAAAAAAGACAAATTAATAAAATACTGTTGTCTATCGCTTTATTTAATGTTTTTATATATGAAAACCATTATTATGTCATTTAGTGGTGGATAAAAAAGTAACTTAACACTACTATATGAAAAAATGACTTGTGTATACAATTGAAGGTGTCATTTTATACTCAAACTACTTTCATTGAGCTTAACTCAATGTTCAATTTCCGTCAGTTCCTCACACAATGACTACAGAAGACTTAAAATAGAGCAGACCACTTGCGGGTATTTTTAAAGTTTACATCCATGGTCACTATGAACTGTTACAGTATGGAAAATACCTGGCTGATATATACACTAAAAAGTTGAATGTGACGTTGAACTTGAAACTTGAATGAGTTTCTTTCTTCTGCTGAACACGAAAGAAGATATTTTGAAAAATGTTGGTTACCAAACAGTTGATTTGCTCCTTTTTAAGTGAACTATTCCTTTAAGCCTAACTAATTTATTCCTGATGGCAAAGCTGAATTTTCAGCATCGTTACTCCAGTCTTCAGTGTCACATGATTCTTCAGAAATCACTCTAATATGCTGATTTGCTGCTCCAGAAACATTTCTTATTATCAGTGTTGAAAAGCATTGTACTGCTTAATATTATTGTAGAAACTGATATTTTTTCAGGATTCTTTGATGAATAGAAAGTTCAGCATTTGTTTGAAATAGAAATCTTTTATACATGTATTTAATGTAAAAATTGATCAGTTTAATGCATCCTTGCTGAATAAAAGTATTCAATTCTTAAAAAAAAAAATAAAAAAAAAAAATTCATAAAGGTTGGAGCAACACAACAGTGAGTTTAGGATGACAAAATTGTCCGTTTTGGGTGAACGATCACTTAAATATTACAGCTCAATGACATTCTCCAGGAAGTCCAAGCACAAATCCTGACAATGTGCATTTATTTATTCACTTTATTAATATTGAAGTGAGTGTTTAGTGTCGTAGTCTTTTTGGCTGAAAAGCATTCTTGTGTAGTAAACACTACAGCAGATGTAAATTCAGCATAACTATAAAACTATGTTTTGTCTTGAATGCAAAAGTCAGTAAATAGTCCATGTTTTAAGGGAAATAAGAGTACCCAAAACATCAGTCGCATCTGCTTTGGTGCTGGAACCACTTCTGTAGAGGTGTTTTACCACTAATAGTGCTCTCCTCTTTCTTCCCAGCTTAGTTTCATTACTGCTGGCCTTGTTCCACTGTATAGTCTTCAGGGATCGTGTCTGTTAATGCCAAAAGACATAAATTAAGATACGCTGAAAATACAACCTGTTCCTCTAATATATTGTTTGAGCACTGCACTCACCGTTACAGCGATATCTCAGGTTGGCCCAGATGATATTTTCCTGTGAAAAGCAGAACACACCGAGACGTCCCCCTCTCATGCTGGTGTCGATAACAACTCCAGAGTCCGCAATCAAGTCGGTACCTTCATAGAACTTAACTCTGTGCCAAAACAGAGAAAAACCCAAAACATGTTGCTTTGCTTCAGTGAATTGTTTCTCCAGTAAAGTCTGAGCATCTAACCTGATGTATCCCACTTGGGGTCTGTGCATCAGATTCCAGCGGTATGACACCTTGTCCTTCCAGCCCACATTACGAGGGTCTTTCCACAGCAAACGCACCTGGTCATTTGTATCTCCAGTGTGCCACAGTGAATTCCTCAGGAACTCTCCAGGCCCAGTTTTAGACTTTACAGCCTAGAAATGCACAACATATTGATGAATGTCTTCAGTCGAATAATCAAATCTAATTGCGACTTACTTGAAGTGCAAAATAACAATTTGGTTTCAGATTTAACATGAGTTAAGTATTTTTGCACACTTCAGAGTTTAGCCAAAAGCACTTTTCTAAATTTGCCGAGGCCTCAGCGGAGCAGCAGTAATGGTAAAAGCACACGCTGAGCATTCAGACGGACAGTAATAGAGATGTAGAGCGCCCCGGGACCTTAAGCTGAATGCCAGGCTCAGCCACGGCTCGAAATGGCACCGCCTGCCAGTATGTCTGCTCCGTCTGCTTCCACATCACCACATAGAAGCTGGAGGAATCCTGGTAGCCAAAGATGAAGCCCGCGTAGTCGTCATCGGTCACTGTATTCACGTGGAAGGTGCCCTCAAAGTCCACGCCACTGAATGCTGTGTATCCTGTTGTGAGAGATTGTGTCATCTTCTGACCCAGTTTTTCAAAATACTAAAATTCAACCACTTTCTTCTGTGGAACACACAAAGATTTTTAGAAAAAATAATACAGTTCTGTGAGTCCATATGATGCAAGTGGATGGGACTCTCAAAGTTGACGATTCAAAAAGCACAGAAACCGAACATGACGGCAATCCATATACGACCACAGTGGATGATTCAATGTCTTCTGATTCAATGATTCAATGTCTTCTGATTCAATGTCTTCTGATTCAATGTCTTCATATGTGCATTCATGTATTCGCGCTTAAAGTAAACGTCAGCAAATTGTGACGGTCCTGTGCTGCTGGCATAGTGCTTTACAATGCAGTCACCTATCAGAAGGCCACTGGGGTCGTATGGGTTACCATCGTGTTCGCTTTGCATGGTTTTTGAAGTGTCAGCTTTAAGGGTTCTATCCTCTTGCATTATATGGACTAAGAGATGGATTATTTTTTCTAAAAATATGTGTTTGTGTTCCACAAAAGAAAGAAAGTCGTATACATTTAAGACGGCATGAGGGTGAGTAAATGATGACCAGTAAGACCAGTATGCATTTCCATGCAGGCTCATGCTGGATTGGTGTTGGGCTATCTAGCTGGTCTTTTCACTATGGAAATGCTTGAGATTATTTTCTTGTTTGGGTCAAAAAAAGCTCACCAACAGCTAGTCCTGGGTCACTGTTCATGGTTTGGACAATCTCCATCCCCTGATTAAGAACAACCCAGTTGGGGTCGATCTGAGCCTGTCCTTCTGGATCCAGAACCACGGTCTGATATTCCCTGAAGTCGGTCAGAGTGATCTCTGCATTCTCAGGGCAGATGTCGATCGTGTCTATCACGTGATCTTTGTCCAGGTCTCCAGTGCAGATGTCACCCACCCCATCATCTATCAAAGCAGAAGAGCGGAAGGTTTATCTTTTTATCAGTGGTCTGATTTTTTTAAGTCAAGCACATTATGATGCAGTGGCCCCAAAAGTTATTTGGACACTTAAGTCACACTTAAAAACAAATAAATGTCATCAATTAAAATAAAAATAAAAGTAGACCAGAAACACTTTGCTTGAATAATTGAACAACTTGTGCTATGGCATCCTTCTAAGAAAATGTTGCTGTGCGTACTGTTTTCATCTTTCTGGTCTGGGTTTGGCACCAGTCTACAGTTATCTTTATCATCCAAGATTCCATCATTATCATCGTCATCATCACACTCGTCCCCGAGCCCATCCTTATCGGTGTCCAGCTGTGAGCTGTTAATGACGTTGGGGCAGTTGTCTTTGGTGTTCTGATGACCATCTCCATCACTGGAACAAAGACCTCAGTTATAAACTTGTTTTATATTGACCGTCAAGGTAAAAGGTAAAGCAGACTCTATACCTGTCAATGTTTGTGTCACAATTGTCTCCTACAAGATCATCGTCAACATCAGACTGATTGAAAGAAAACCGAAGACAGGATTAAAATAGTAATATTAAATATGAAATATACATCATACAGAAGAAAAAAAGAAATTGAATACTGCACATTAAGGTGCGAAATTTCATCGGCAACATCCAGTCAGAATCCGTGCATAGAAATCATTTCTGTGTGAACGGTGCTTCCTACGTCTCTATGCTTTTGACAATGGACCTTTTTGGACTTTTTTGCTAATTTGACCGCCCCACACATTTACGCAACACCTAGTTCCTTCGAATCGGCTTTGTATACGTTAACGTTTATTGATTTTCAAGGTTTTTTTTTTAAATGAACTATTATGAGCCTGGTATGAAAAATGGATAAGTATTAATTTTGAGATGAACAGTTGATAAAGTGCCTAAAATAAAGATAGGCAAGCGTTCTTAACGAAACAGTTCTTTTTAAAAATAAATATTTGCCACAGTCCAGAGCCATAGAGAGAGAGAGTTGCGACACTCCCATAGACCGCCATCGGAACTTTGGAATGCGGAAGTAACGCGTGTCGTGGAGCGGCCAATAGTTCCAAACACTGATAGTTTCTCCATTGAACCCCATTCATTTTTAGTGCTTCCGAAGTACGCTCGCTGGTAAATTAATGAAATTACTGTATTTTTTTACTTTTACACACATTAGCCGACCTCTCGTGAATCCAGTCTGTAGTTATATTTTATGTAGCCAGTTTTAGTAAATGTTTATTGGAAGATAATAGGTTAATTGCAGCTATAGCTTACGTGACCAACACTTCACTAATGTTAGCTAACTTACGGTAACTGATCATACTTGTGATGTGTATAATATATAATATTTTTAATAATATTTTATATGTATGGTATATATATATATATATAGCCTATATATAACATTATATATACATACACACACACACAATTCATTTATTTAAATGGGTTAGGGTTATGCATGTGCTTATATGTTTTTAGGAACATAGTTAATTCACTCATTAAAGGAGCTGTATGTAAGATTGTGGCCAAAACTAGTACTGCAATCACTGTCAAATTACTGTAGAGTGGTGTATCCCCTCCCCCTCCTCCCTGACTCGAGGTTGCCAGATCGGCTGCAGGATCCAGCAGGAACGTGACGAGCTGAAGCTGTGGTAACTAGAGCAGAGCTGGCAACCCGGATGCCGCAACACTACTGACTTCGTGATTGGTAGATAGGTGGAGGGTGGAGCATCAGACCAAAACACAACATGACAACATCAACATCAGTTGAGGGCTGCAACTGCACTTTTTAAATGACAATATCCTGGCCAGACTACTGTTGTCAGTGATATAAGTATTTGAAATGTACATGATTTCTTAATGTCTAGTGACATTTCAGGGCCATTTTATGATTAATTGAAATAAATTTCTTACATACAGCTCCTTTAACTATCTCTCCGGTTTAATTTTATGAAGAATATTTTTCGGTTGAATATTTACCGAACATTGCTGTATATAGTCGTTGCTTTCTACGTTATGGGAGCAGTCTATTTCCCTCCTAAATCATTCATTTGTACATGCACAGCGTAATTATTTATATTTTATGTTGGTTGGAATTCTGAACGGACTGCAGACCTCTTTGCGTGATCACGAAGGTAGGCTAATTTGGCTGAATCAGAATTTATAAGCAAGATCACGGGAATCAATAGCCTAATACAGCCCAGTTGTGCTAAAATAAATATCATGAGACGTCCATCATCAGATGAATGACATGGAAAAGTTAAGTTAGACCCGCTAAAGCCAGTACTACCCATGCGAACATGAACACTAGCGTTTCCCTCCAAAAAATATAGCCTAAAACTTATCTAAGTTGTCAACCTGCCTCTCCAAATGCAAAACTGACATTAACAAAATGCAAGAACAGCTGAAAAAGTACTTGGGTGTGTGTTTTATTTTATATTTACCGTTTAATAATGCAATCGCTGCTGTCTGTCCATAGAAGAACATGACAGCCCACGTATGTTTTGGAACTATTGGGACTTACATGAACCACGTGACAGCCGTCGCGGCGACATCAAAGCGTGTCGCAACTCTTTCTCTCTATGGCTCTGCCACAGTCTAGTAGCCTGTTTAAAACCAGACCATTCTCAGTTGTAACTGAGTTATGGTCTGGCAAAGCGTCATAGACAAATCATTTCCAGAGGGGCGTCACCAACGGACGTCGCGGATAGACCTAAAACCAATCAGAGCGATGAAGGAGATGACGTATGCAGAGCGGCAGAAACATCTCTGAGTGTTGTTCTTTGCTCGGTTTTTAACAAAAAGGAAACGTTCAAATCGCTTAAAACAGACGCGATAGCTGATTCGAACGAGTGATGTTCGACGGCGGCATCCATCTTTGTAATGTAGGCTACAAAATCTGCTTCAAAATCCCAGCGCTGTCGTCATCGTGTAAAGCCCGCCCCAACGTTTCTGATTGGTGCCTCGATTTCGACGGATTGGAAATGGGCTTGAATGAGCTCTTTGCCAGACTAACTTTCAGAGCAAATCTAAATTTGCCGGAAGTTGTCTGGGTTTTCCCAGGCTAACAGTCTAGTGCTATCCTTTTAAATTAGGTTTAAAGTTAGATTACACAAGAAGTAATCTGAAATATAAAAATAGGGGAAAACTTGCATCCTCAAATATCCAATCATTAAAATACACAGAATAGAATAGAATAGAATAGAATAGAATAGAATAGAATAGAATAGAATAGAATAGAATAGAATAGAATAAGAGGCAGGTAGTAATCATGTTGTTTGGCACCTGGTTGGGGTTTGGCACCTCAGGACAGCTGTCGCATGCATCACCAACGCCATCATGATCTTTGTCCTTCTGGTCTGGGTTTGGAACCCTCTGACAGTTATCCAAGATGTTCTTCAAGCCTATCAGAAGTACAGAAAGCACAAGGATCCATTCAGTAATTCATCAACAGATGAGTAAGAGCCAGGGTATAAAATAAAGTATCATACAAAGGTATACAGAGACGTTCTGCTGAAAATGTCATTGAAGGGAGCAAACTCCACCAGGAGAAATGTATTGCGGTGTTATAGAGTTGGGTACAGTGATGTCTTTGTGTACGATTTGTTGGGTTATGTCACAGGGTGGCAGTGTTTCAGAAAGACTTCTGTGGAATTGTTTCCACGCGTCAGCAGCTCTTGGCTCGGCTCAGGTGGAAATGTGGTTGCTTAAAGGACGGAGACATGACCAAGCTATAAAGAATCAAGTCAAGTGTCTGGATTTCTGCCTTGATGAGCAGACCGTAAATGTCAAGAGCTGTCTGGGCTTGATTTTACACTTTTTTTCAGACTGGAACAAATAATTGTTCATTTGAAACAATATTTTCAGTGTGGTGCCTTATAGACGCTGTTTATACAGCTACATGTCACTTCAGTTTTACATGACCCGAGCAATAAAGAGCCCTCTAATTTGAGCTTTAAAAGCACAGAAGCTTCTGTTTTTCCTCATAAAATTGATCTAAGCACAGGAAAATCCAGATAAAAAACAGGCCCAAAGGGTGAAAAGAATATTCAAAACATAACACCCCATTTCTGCAACAAAAAAAAAAAAAAAGAGAGAAAAGTCTTGGATGGCACATGGAAAAATGGGAGCAAAAAGTACAGAGAAGTTGATCTTTAACAAAATAAGAGCTGAATTAAATTACCATCCCCATCTATGTCATCATCACAGGCATCTCCCAGTCCGTCCTTGTCTGTGTCCCGCTGGTCCTGGTTTTCCACTTTTTTGCAATTATCACAAGCGTCACCATGAAGATCTTTATCGCTGTTCTTCTGGTCTATGTTAGGTACCAACCAGCAGTTGTCCTGGAGGAATACATTCATGCAGGGACTGAAACTGATGGGAGCTTTTCAGTTGTCATAATGAAATGATGTGTTATCTGTACCTGATCATTAAAGATGCCATCACTATCTGCATCCTCATCACAGGCGTCTCCCTTCCCATCTCTGTCTGCATCTTCTTGGCCCGAATTTGGAACAAACATGCAGTTATCCTGAAAAATGGAAAATAAGATAAACTGGTAAACACTTTACAATAAGGTTAATTAATTAATACAATAAATGACAGCATTTCTTAAAGCTTGGTTAGTGTTAATTGATTGATGCAAAATTGTAATCATTTCAAGTTGCACAAATGCTATTAAATGTTATTCATTTTCATTGAAAGGTTTGGGATCAGTACGTTTTTTTCAACTCTGAATTCAGTCAAAAAATTTGAATTGATCAAAACATTTAAATAAATAAATGCAGCTTTGGTGAGATTTCTTTCAAAAACAACAACAAATCTTACTGATGCCAAACTTTCATATGGTAGGATATATTTGTAGAAATTGATAATCCAGTAAAGAAAATGTGGTTTGTTGTCAGTTAATGATATCTAAAGCATTAACTAATGCTAACAAACTGAACATTATTGTAAACTTCTAACAGAAATAACATGAATATGAGAATGAATATCACCTTCTTGCAGGTTCCATCTCTGCATTGAAGTTTGTTATCTGGATACGCGTCAATGTCTGTGTCTTTTCCACAGACATAGCCGTTTCCTGCCCAGGCAACTTTGCACTAAAAGCAACAAGATACTGAAGCATGTTAGATGGCTCAAAAGCATGGAAATTACAACTGCTTTAGCATGATAGTAAATAAAACATCTGTCTGAATGCTTGATGTCTCACCAAACAGCTGATGCTCCCATCTCTCTCCACAACACACTCTGCGTTGATGTCACATGGATTTGGCTGGCCGTTCCCACACAGCCTGTCAGATACAGGAGGGGGGTCCAGGCCAGTGCTTTTGCAGCCAGTATTCTGGTCACCCGTGAATCCGGTCTTGCAGTTCCCACAGTAAAACGCACCCTACAAGAAAGCAAAATGTTCCCATTTAACTAAATTTACTGTGCTTTCCACAGGCCACATTAGTGTAATGGGTAATCTAGGATAGTTTGGCTATTATCTTACCAGTGTGTTATGGCAGTATGAATTGGGTGTGCAGCCACCGTTGTCCACCTGGCACTCATCAATATCATTACAGATCTGATAAAAAAAGGATAAATCTGCTGTTAATCGCTGTATGGCACTAACATCACTGCTTTTTTTTTAAATTAGAAATTTTAAAATGTTTCTCTATGAGTATCATTGTAATACTATGGGTTTTTTTTTTTTTGGACATGCAATTAGAGTACTATGTAAATATGGTTTATAATACAGTAATCGTTCAGTATCATGACATACTGTATATCACAGTACTAAAATCCTTATATATGGGGGTGCTTTAAAATATCTTATTACAATATTAAATAAAGGAGATCTATACATACATTTGGGGTCGACAAGATTTTTTTACGTTTTTTGAAAGAAGTCTCTTATGCTCACCAATGTGCATTTATTTCATCAAAAATACAGTAAAAACAGTAATACTGTGAAATATTATCATACTTAAAAATAACTGTTTTCTATTTTAATACATTTTAAAATGTCATTTATGTGATGGCAAAGCTCATTTTTCAGCATAATTACTCCAGTCTTCAGTGTCATATGATCCTTCATAAATCAGTAGCCTATAATAATGGTGGTGCTCAATGTTTTTTAGGATTCCTTGATGAATAGAAAGTTCAAAGGAACTGCATTTATTAGATCCCTGCTGTATAACAGTATTCATTTATTTAAATTATTTAATTATTTATTTAAACTTTCTGACCTAAAGCGTTTGAATGGTAGTGTACATATACTATACACATATACATTTGCACATAGTGGTAAACAAAAATTAAATGAAGCTTTGCATTGTTCCAAATACGCACTTGTTTGTTTGCCTGAGCGTAGTGAACGCCCACACCCTGGATCTCTGGGCCAGAGTAACCTCGTGGACACATCTCGCATCTGAACCCTCCCGCAGTGTTAAAACACCGTACACCAAAGAAACATGGGTTGAACTGGCACTAAAATTGAACAGTGTATAAGGTTAGCTTGATTTTTGGTGTTCAACAAACAATGCTCAGTATGTAGTATAGCCTATAATGACGTTTAAGTCACAGTTGCACGGCGATCTGTGAAAAGTTCTATAAAACAACAGGAAAATTACCTTAGAACTTACATAACGGTTTAAACTATAATTAATCTAATAAAACCCCTATTAAACCCTGATAAAATGTTAATAAATCATTATGTGTTCCTGACTTAGTTTTATTGTTCATTCAATAAGTAGAAAACCTTGTCAGATGTGTTGAACAGTATGACCTAGTAGGTAGTATACTTCAGTGAGTAACGGAAAAACTATACAGGAAATGATGTGTGGATAGATGAACAATATAAACAGCAAAATTTGATTCAAGAAAGTCATAAATAATAGTATATGTATAATAACGAACAAGTTGAGGTTATGTTAAGTTATTAAATTCTGACTAATGTTTGGGTATACCAATAACATAACATAAAAAAAATAAAAAAAAGTCTGAATCTTAAATCTAACCTCGTCTACATCATCACATTGGACTCCATCTCCAGTGTAGCCCTCAGGACAGGGTGCACAGCTCACACCTTCAGCTTTTTCGATACACATGGCTGGCGTAAAACAGACCCCTGGTCCACACTTGGACCGTGTATTATTTTGTAGTATGCCTACTGGGTGTCCCGTTCTTAATGCATCTGAATATTAACACAACACTTGAGTTCACCTGTCTGACCACTTCAACATCTTCATTAAAAGCTTCTAGCCTACTATTGACTTGTACTTAACTGAGCACAGACATGATTTTTACATTTTTAAAATGTTTTCTCATTATAACTGTTTCTTATCTTCACAGAAAAAATCTTACCACTGCATGGAACACACTCCAAGATAGTCTTTCTCAGGTCAGCAGTTTCTTTGGTCTGTTATGAAAACACATGCTCATTATTCTCCTGAAGAACAGGGAACTAAAGTTCTGAAGAAATCATAGGGATAGTTCACCCAAAACTGATAAGTCTGTCGTTATTTATTTACCCTCATTACGCTGAGTGACTTTTGTAGAACATTTTTAATACTTTTTCTGGTCACTAATGCTATGAATGAGGAGTTTTGTTGACAGGATCAACTAAGTCAGTGAAAAGATCAGACTCAAAAAAGCAATTTGTTCATGAATCCGACATATCAATCTTTCTCCCATAGAGGGGGAAAAAAAAGTCATATAGGGTTTGAACGACATGAAAGTAATTACATGATTAGAGAATTTTTCTTTTTGGGTGAACTCTCCCTTTAAGGAACTATTTTCCCACACAATTTAAAGTTACCTGCTGATCCACCTTCTGTTTCAACTCTTGGATCATACGCATGAGCTCAAACATTGGCCCAGCTTCCATCTTTGAGGTTGTTCCTGCAGACATGTAACATAATGATATTTTCTGTACTAAAATCAAATAATCAATTATTAAAGGGTTGGTTCACCCAAAAATGAAAGTTCTGCCATTAATTACTCCCCCTCATGTCATTCCAAAAATCCCTTCGTATTAGGAACACAAATGAAGATCTTTTTGATAAAATTTGAAAGCTTGTACTACTTTAAAGCCCCAGAAAGGTAGTAAAAAAGACATTATTAAAGTAATCCACGTGACTCCAGTGGTCTTTATTTACCACTTTATTTACAAAATACTAATCTTTAATGCGCGTTAACGCAACGTGTTGCTCTCGTGAACATGTGCGCACATGTGTGTTGTGTCGACGCGCAAGTCTGCTCTACTCTCGCTATCGTGAACGCGCGTTGGAGATTAATATTTTGTAATTAAAGTGGTAAATTCTTTGCACAAACAAAGCACTTGTGTCGCTTCATAAAATTGAGATTAAACCACTAGGGTCTCATGGATTACTTTTATAATGCCTTTACTACCTTTCGGGGGCTAAAAAGTGTTAGTTGCTTAGGCTGTCAATGGAGGGAAAGCTCTCAGATTTCATTAAAAAGATGAACGAAAGTCTTAAAGGAGAACTCCGGTCAATTTTAACATTGAGCTAATTTTTTTGTACATTTGGAGTGCTGTCAGCAGGGGCGTTGCTAGACCCATTTTACTGGGGCACGTGCCCCAGTATAATGGTGCGTTCACGTGCTATGGTAATTATGGTAAATACCAAAAGCCGACGTGGGAAATGCACATGAACACCCCCACATGTGGTATTTTCCACTGGGCAACTCGTAGAAAATTTTGATGCACGAGTTGCCGAGATGAGATAACCTTTGACCTTTTCAAAATGGCGGAGAGCAACGCGAGAGTCGTGAATGGTAAAAATATGTACTTGATCTACAAAATATAACGTTACAGCATATTATTAACCGTTTGAGTTTTGATAAATCATTTTCTTGCTGTTTGCAGATGACTTAGCAATCTAAAATAGTTTTACCTAAATAACAGGTCTGGATCTCCATCTTTTTACCACATTACGACAACAAAAGCACTTGAACGCAACACACTGGTAAATACCAGTTCACAAGTGGAAAATATCATATTTTCCATAGCACGTGAACGCACCATAAATCTGCTGTGCCCCAGTAAATCTGAAGTTTGAGTTTAACAATTTATTTTATTTGTCAGTGTATTTAATATAAATTATATTATAGGGTAATAGAAATGATCTATTTGCAACGCAGTAATAAACCAATCAATGTTTGTAAAAGCAACGCAGTTTAACCGAAACCCAGAAATCCGCGCGCGTCTGTGTTTCCTAGCAACAGCAGCGCGCACAAATCTGAGCACACCGAAGTCCGGTTTTGGCACGCGAGGTAGGCTATGAAAACATGACGAAACAAAAGTTTCTAAATAATACAAATAATCTTAAAAGTAAAATTGAGTCAGAGTCAAGTGATGGACCGTTTTGCCAAAATGAAGCATAGGCGGTAGCCTACAGTTTAATGCTCAACAAATAAATCAACTTAGTTTGTACTTGGCTGGGGAACTTTGTTTTCTTTTAGAATATACATGATCTTTATTTTATATAGTATATATTAACTCTTTATTGATTTATTGAAATGATGTAATTGTAAATTCTTGAAAAATATAAAGGCTAATTATTCATTATTAACATTGTGTAATGTAGAAGAATGCAAATGTGCAAGAAAGTTTTCTCTCCGTTTTCTATTTTCTAAAGTATTCTATTTTCATACAGTGTGTTGCCTTTTATGGCACAAAAAAAAAAGAAATTCGTGTAACATGATTTTAAAGCTATTGTTATCCAATTTGTTGGCATTCAAACACCTTAAAATGCACATATATAGGTCCGAGAAATCCAAATTTTCTCGGGGGAGCATGCCCCCGAACCTCCCTAAGTTACTCTACCCAGCATGCTGTTTTTGAAACAAACAAATTTTATGTATCTATCGGTAAGCCCCGCCCTCCTTAGTTACGCTTGCTATCTCAGACAAACAATGGGGGACCTGTGCCCCAGTAGAGCTTAATGTCTAGGAACGGCCCAGGCTGTCAGTACAGACAAAAACGACAAAAATCGGTGTTGTTATTAAGAGTGACCACGGTCAATCTGACTGCAGTAGATGTGCAAGATATTAATAAAAATGATGTTAATTCATCAATTGTCGAGTTCGCTCGCGCGATCATTACCAATGATCGCGCGCGAACTCGATAATTGACTACTGTGGACTTCGAACGAAAACAGGAAGTAAATACAGGTATGTGAGCTGGCTGAATTAACATCATTTTTATTAATATCTTGCACATCTACTGCAGTCAGATTGACCGTGGTCACTCTTAATAACACCACTCACATGGCTGTGCACTTGTAAAGACATATTAAAGTTGTTAAGAGGCTAAAAGCAGGTTTAGAACTTGCCCCATTGAAGTCAACAGGGTGCGAATTTTAAAAAGAGGATAACACGGTGTAGGCAACTCCGATTTTTGTCGTTTTTGTCTGTACTGACAGCACTCCAAATGTACAAAAAAAAATTAGCTCAATGTTAAAATTGACCGGAGTTCTCCTTTAAGGGTTTGTAACGGCATGAGTGTGAGTAATTAATGACATCATTTTCACTTTTGGGAAAACTAACCCTTTAACAAAACTATAGCTGTATAAGACTACTAGCCTAGTACAACTAGTAGTTGCACCTAGTAGTTGCAGTGTTTCTCTCTCTTCACTGCAGTCCTGAAGTTCCACGACATTCTCAATAGACTCATCGAGCACGAGTCTGAGGTCTGACAGCTTATCCTGTGACACAGGTAGCCTACATGTTTATTCATAGATTATACTTGCTGTATATAAACTCATCAGAACAATGATATTATTTGTTCAATATTTTTGGTTTACCTGGCTTGAGGTTAGCAGGGTCTTCAGTGTGACTCGTTTTGGGCCCTGCGGCAGTGATTTAAAGGCCAGCGGCACGTCCTGCACTCTCTCCACCAGTCTGCAGTCCACATAGAGAGCCGTGGTGGGGGTGCCCTGCTGCAGCCCACTGAAGTGGAGCAGTATGTGGTGGAGTTGACCATCTGTCAGTGGCACTTTAGCGAAATTTGTTGTTCCAACCTTTCCGTTGCTTTTCAGATATTTCAAAATGACTGTCAACAGAAAGAGTGTTTGGTGTACATGTCACGTATTCATTGAGCCATTGAACACAAAGCACATTGGTGAGCTCTGATCAGACAAACCTTTGTTGAGTTTCCCCTGAACAGTGAAATCAAAATAATCTGTGTTATCTGCAGCATTGAAGATGCGGAAGACATGTGTTGGAGCTTTGTTCTGCATCTGCAGGCTCGCAAGGATAAAAACGTTGTCCATATTCTTTGCCCTTATTCCACCTTGCATAAGGTCAGGTAAGCAATCCGGTGACACCAGAAGATCATAAACTGAAAAATTTGCATTTTTTGTCAACATATTTGCATTTGGTACTGAGGCTTTTTGATTAATTTGTGTACACTCGTGCACAAATTCATATGGTTCCACCTTTAACATCCATATAACCTTTCAAAAAAGGTTCTTCTTGGAAAAAGGTTCTTCAGATTATTTAAAGCTATAAATAATAATAGTCATAAAGTTCCTTGAAATGCACAGCATTATTCAATGTGTTGTTGACGTAATTTCCACTGAAACAGGAAGACAAGGTGGGACATATCGATAAGCTCCTTCCCTTTTTTAAAATAGCCAATAGCGTTTTATTTATATCACAGCCCGGCCAGAGCCGTTGAGCTCGGTAAAGCTGCAGTTTCCTCCTAATCTCTAACCAATTCTCCTCTTAATCTCCCCCATGTCGCTTTAAAATACAGCATTCTGTGCAGAATTCAAATGGGTCGATGCGTTTTCTGGTATGCGCCGAATCTCGAATATGATCCGCTCTGTGTCTCTGGACCGGAGCAGAGCGCTATGAGCGCTGCAGCGATTCTCGTGACACTAACCCGAAACCAGACTTAATTTGCCCCAATGGAAAGCATATTTACACTGTCTGAATCGTTCCCTATCCCCTATAGTGCACTATGTGCCATTCACCATGTAGAAAATAGCAAATGTGTGAACAGGTGACCAATTTTAGCTGCAGCTTCAATGTACACTCACCTAAAGGATTATTAGGAACACCATACTAATACTGTGTTTGACCCCCTTTCGCCTTCAGAACTGCATTAATTCTACGTGGCATTGATTCAACAAGGTTCTGAAAGCATTCTTTAGAAATGTTGGCCCATATTGATAGGATAGCATCTTGCAGTTGATGGAGATTTGTGGGATGCACATCCAGGGCACGAAGCTCCAGTTCCACCACATCCCAAAGATGCTCTATTGGGTTGAGATCTGGTGACTGTGGGGGCCATTTTAGGACAGTGAACTCATTGTCATGTTCAAGAAACCAATTTGAAATGATTCGAGCTTTGTGACATGGTGCATTATCCTGCTGGAAGGAGCCATCAGAGGATGGGTACATGGTGGCCATAAAGGGATGGACATAGTCAGAAACAATGCTCAGGTAGGCCGTGGCATTTAAACGATGGCCAATTGGCACTAAGGGGCCTAAAGTGTGCTAAGAAAACATCCCCCACACCATTACACCACCACCACCAGCCTGCACAGTGGTAACAACAAGGCATGATGGATCCATGTTCTCATTCTGTTTACGCCAAATTCTGACTCTACCATCTGAATGTCTCAACAGAAATCGAGACTCATCAGACCAGGCAACATTTTTCCAGTCTTCAACTGTCCAATTTTGGTGAGCTCTTGCAAATTGTAGCCTCTTTTCCCTATTTGTAGTGGAGATGAGTGGTACCCAGTGGGGTCTTCTGCTGTTGTAGCCCATCCGCCTCAAGGTTGTGCGGGTTGCGGCTTTACAAATGCTTTGCTGCATACCTCGGTTGTAACGAGTGGTTATTTCAGTCAAAGTTGCTCTTCTATCAGCTTGAATCAGTCGGCCCATTCTCCTCTGACCTCTAGCATCAACAAGGCATTTTCGCCCACAGGACTGCCGCATACTGGATGTTTTTCCCTTTTCACACCATTCTTTGTAAACCCTAGAAATGGTTGTGCATGAAAATCCCAGTAACTGAGCAGATTGTGAAATACTCAGACCGGCCCGTCTGGCACCAACAACCATGCCACGCTCAAAATTGCTTAAATCACCTTTCTTTCCCATTCTGACATTCAGTTTGGAGTTCAGGAGATTGTCTTGACCAGGACCACACCCCTAAATGCATTGAAGCAACTGCCATGTGATTTTTTTTTTTTTTTTTTTTTTTTAACCAGGGAAATAATCACATTGAGATAAATATCTCATTTACAAGTGAGCCCTGGCCAAGGTAGCAGCACACGATATACATAACTACATAAAACAGATTACACTGTTTGATTATATAATTGCATTAATGAGAAATTGAACAGGTGTTCCTAATAATCCTTTAGGTGTGTGTATATTTATAGTGTAGGGGGCAGGTCGCTTTATAGAGCATTTGATTGGACAGAAAATATAATGAGAAGCTGAAGTGCAGACTAGTGATGTCATCAAAATCATTGATCCATATTGGTGGAAGTGAGAGACTGTAAGTTTTGAATGCTTGTATCTTCTAAATGTGAATTTTGTCATTGTTTTGGAGCACACTACCTTATAGATAATTGTAAGGCTAATATATAAAGACAAAGAACTTTAATTTTGATTTCATGGGGACTTTAAATGTTTTAACATTTAAAAAAAAAAATGGTTTTAAGAGCGTCATAAATGTCATTGGACTTTTTTTTACATTTTCTCTGTGCAGGAAAGCTCAGGAAAGCAACCAATGAGGTCATTGTCAGATTTGACCTGTGTGTGACTAATGGTCATTTTATATAGTGTTCAGATCGTTCAGATTTGTTAATCACACTGCATGCTGGGGGAATTCCAGACAATTTATGACATTTATGGAGTGATACACTGTAAAAGTGATACACTTTCTACTTAAACATCACATTTAATTCAATGACAAATCACTTGACGATTCTTTGTAATTATTTGTGAAATTGAATATAAATAATACTATAAATGTATAAATAATGCAAAAAATTAAATGGCTAGCAATTGTGTTTAACTTGCACTGTAAAAAACAGTTGCTGCCTTAAATTTTTAAGTATAATCAACTTGGATGTTTAAGTAATTTAAACTAAAATTACATTAAACTGACTTAAAAATTAGCTGAATCTTGCATAACTTATGAAAAAAGTTGAAAATTGCTTAACTTATTTTGATAAGTTAAAGCAATGTAAGAACATATGTTGTCATAACTTATTGATCATGTAATTTTTTACAGTGTACAAACGGTTAATATAAGGTTTAAGGACTTACCAATTCCTTGAGTTTTCACTGTATCAAGGAGTTGTAAAGTTAATTGTAAAGTGAATATGATTCTTGTCCAAATACCCATCGTGGATTTATTTTGTCTCAAATCCAGTTAAAGTGTTCCACCCTTATTCCTGGAAAAGTCGTTTCTGCTCTGACCCCTAATTCAGGCTTGACTAGTATCCGTCAAAACAGAAATGTCTGTTCCCTGCAGATCAACGAGAACCAGACTGGTGCTCAAGTGATTTAAACTTTTCAGATGTCTCTCTCTATATAAGGTGTGACCAAGCACCTCCTCCAGAACGCTTCTGTGCTTTTACCGGAACGTAGCCATATTGCTGTAAGGATGTCAGATCAAAACCTTCCCAAAAAGCTCTTTGTTAATAATGCTAAATAACGGGAAGATATGCTTTGGTTTTTGGTCAGTCCTTGCGTATAGCTGGTTAAAGGAAGTGCTTTTAAAAGAAAAGTTTGTTCTTGATGTTACATTTATTATTTTCATTTAAACTTTAGTTGAAAGTGGCAACTGAGGATGTTTACACAGAAATAATCATGGCATATTTTAAAGTTATATATTTCATATTCCATATTTTATCCAAAAATTAAGATTCTGTCATAATTTTCTCACCCCCAAGTTGTTCCAAACATGTATGAATTTCTTTCTTCTGCTGAACACAAAAGAAAATATTTTGAAGAATATGGATTACCAAACAGTTGATGGGTTTGGACATTGACTTCCATTGTATTTTTTTTTTCATACTATGGAAGTCAAAGGGGAATTCAACTGTTTGATATTCTTCACAATATCTTATTTTGTGCTCAGCAGAAGAAAGAAATTCATACATGTTTAGACTTGAGGGCGAGTAAATGACAGAATGTTCATTTTTAAGTGAACTATCCCTTTAACAATTCGATTGCCTTTAACCAAACAATCTGTCCTGCCAAAAAAAAAAAAAAAAAAAAAACATTTACAGGAATAATCTGGCTTGATGTCCCTGCTGAGTCTTGCCAGTTTGAGTGTTACGGCAGATGAGTTATGGAAAATCAATTAAAGCTTTAGATTCATATGAGTGAAAGAGTTTACCACATTAACTCTACAATTGCTTGAATAGGCTATTGTATTCTGCAGCCTCTCAAAATAAATCTGTAAGCACAAGCACAAGAAAAGACAAGCTCACACCAGTGGTCAAGCTGGTGTTTGGAACATGGCAGCTGGTTTGTTGCTGGTAGCTAGTTAACTTTAGCCCAACATCTTAAACAAGGTGGTATAGCTCTGAGCAAGTTCACCCAAAAATATAAATTATACCATGATTTACTCACCCTCAAGACATCCAAGGTGTGTATGACATTCTTCTTTCAGATGATCACTAGGAAAATATCCTAGCTCTTCCAAGCTTTATAATAGTGAATGGGAGTGCGAGATTTTGAAGCCCAAAAAAATGCATCCATCCATCATGAAAAATAAACCATACTGCTCCAGGGGGTTAATAAATGCCTTCTGAAGCGATGAGTTTTTGTAAGAAAAATATCCATATTTAAAACTTTATTAGCTATAATAACTAGCTTCCGGACCGGCAGACAGCCGTACACAGCGATTTACGGTGAAAGAGTAACGTTAACTTAATTTTTATTATTATTTACTATTACCTTTTTAAATATTTTTTTCTCCTTACACAAACACATCGCTTTGCTTCAGAAGGCCTTTATTAACCCACTGGATTTGGATTATTTTATGATGGATGGATTTTCTGGGGGGGCTTCTAAAATCTCGTTTCTCGTTCTCTTTTTTTATGGAATATTGCAGTATTTATTATAAATGATTTATCTATTCACATTTTTATATAAAAAAAAAAATAATGTGCCCTGATATTAATCAAAATAACTAACCATCATCTCACCTGCAATGACATCTCTTCTGTTCTCTGATGACGCGTTTAGTGGCGCAAGGGCGGGATAACCTGTCACTCACATCTCTGACCAAGGCTCTGACTCACATGAGATCACAGCAATAGCAAACCACAACGATCCAATCAAGTCCTACCCTACATTTTTATGTTCAAGAAGCCAACTTCCATTTCATGCTGACTTAAAAAAAAAAGTATACTCTCGACTATACAATAGTTTTGTGATTCATGTAACTTCTCCAGGTTAGCTTGCCTAAATATGCAAAAATATATTCAACCTTTTTTTGCATTATAATTTTTACAAAATTACATTTTGATTTAAGGGTGCAACATAAAAATATTCTGTTCACAAGAAATATTTACCTAGATTTAATTTTTTTATTTTCACACATTTCTCATGTATGACAACTTTTTCGGTTTCCACGATCCATAAATGTATTTCATCAAACATTTGCAGGGTGAAAGTTGTCACCTAGCACCCTGGGATGCTGTTCATACTGCACACAAACATGGCGGAACCCATGGAGCTGCAGCTGCTCTGCTGGGGAGGCGACTGGGATCTGCCGTCAGTGCACACAGACTCCCTCGTTGTGCTGGTAATTACACGGGTTATGTTAACGCCTGTTTTAAATACATATTCACAATGCAATATTTAATCAAGAATGCCGATGCCTTTTTGGAGAAACCTGTCCTAGGGTCCGGATAGCAATCCAGCACTGACAAGATTCACTTTGATAAATGAAATTGTCGCTACACTAATACGCCAGTTCAGTATTAAACTGATGCAATGCAAGCGTAGCTGTCATGCAGAAATGATCTCGACTGAATTGCATTGCATTGTTTTGAGTGGTTGATGATAGTAAGCTAATATGTGTCGCACAGCTCCGGTTTTTATTTCTTGAAGGTCAGAGGAATAATGCTGCTAGGATCTGAAGGGTATGGGGTCTTTTTTACTCGCTTTTCACTTAGAATAGAGATTACAGTGCTTCTGTTTTGTGCTGGAGTAGGCCTACAGCTTTTCTTGTTTGTTTTTGCAGCTGCTTAAATCCATAGAAATCCTGCGTTCTAACACTATGCAAAAATGCATAATAAAAGTCCTAGTTCCACTAGCGCTAAAGATGATTATCAATATTTAACCGTAAATCAGTCATCTATCCATCTGACATGTTTTTAATGTTCTTTTATAGGCTTATGCAAAGTTTGCTGGGGCAGAGCTTGCGGTAAAGTCTGTTGACTGGACGTGGAGGACTATTACAGGTCAGATAAAGGATTTTTTTGTAGTCATGGTGTGAGAGTTTAATGTAGGGAAAGTCAGGAATGTAGCCACGCGCATCCATAGTTTTCCAAATGTAATATTGTGAATGCCAAACATTGCTGAAGTGTGTAAAGGGGTGAGCAGCTTTTTCTAATGCTGCAGCTGTCACATTTCTCTTTCCACAGCATCTGTGCCACAACTATATTATGAGGGATCCACAGTCACAGAACCAACACAAATTCTAAACTTCCTACGAAAACAGGTAGAAATTCATATCTGTTTACAGATTTGCTTCTTTGTGTGTAACATAAGTGGGGATATTTTACTGTGTGTCAGTCATTGTCGCAGAAGAACTCTGATGAATTCAGGACCCCGACGTGAAATTTATTTTGACAAGCTGACTCTGCATTATTACACAGCTTTACCTACTACATTCATTCATTCATACATGAACATAAAATATTTATTTCAATTTATATGTGATTAGCTACAGTTTATTGTCTATATTTGGGCATTCAAAAATATTTGACCAGAATTGTACAACAAACTAATTGGAATCGAGTTTACCAGAGAGCCAACTTTTATTGTAAAGATATATTGGAATATACATACAAGTGTAAATTATAAAAAGTATCAGCATATACCTCCTCCCCCCACCCAGATAACAATTAACAAAAACAGGGGGAGAAAAGGAAAACAAATAATGCATGGTATTGTGAGTGACACCATTCAAAATCTTTTAATAAAGGTATAAATACAACAGTTAATAATGATAATGAAGGTCAGCAGTAAAAAATAAATAATAATAAATAAAGAGTCAATAAAATTTTCCCGTAATCCACACAGAGTTTCAATGCCGACTATGAGTTGACAGCTAAGCAAGGGGCAGATACAATGGCTTACATCGCACTACTGGAGGAAAAGCTGCTGCCAGCACTGGTATTTTATCGGCAATTCACATACTGATTTAAAATTCCAGATCCTCATAATGATGATTGTATGAATTAAGTGTTAATTTGTGTTTTTAATTTGTAGCTGCACACATTCTGGGTGGACGCAGAGAACTATGCTAACCTGACCCGGCCCTGGTTTACGTCACATTCCCCATTCCCCCTCAACTTCTTTGTACCGGGTCGACAGGCCAGTTTGGCTTTGTCTCGCATCTTACTGACCAAAGCAGAGTCGCCATTGCTGAACATCACAGAGGTGGAGGGAAAGGTATGAGAAAACAGATCCATACTTATGTACGATCATAATTCTTACCTCAGTTACTGAGTCTCATGCATAGCATTGGATTAATTTATCGCTTTTCAATGCCATGGTGAAATGGAAATGTCTGTGGTTGCGTTGTGAGATGGAAAACCGTTTCTCTCTCAGCCCTCATGAGCAAATTCTGTGGATTGTAGAAACCAGAGGATCATGAAATATGTTACACAATGAATGTGCTATTGTAGTTATTCCATCCCTCATAATAATGAATATAAAAATTGTATGATTAGCAATAGATTTTCTTTTAGATCTACAGTGAAGCCAAAGAGTGCCTGAATTTGCTCTCCCACAGACTTGGGAACTTCCGCTTCTTCTTTGGAGACACGTGAGTTTTTCATTTCTTTTATCCTATAATATTTATCATCTCTTTAAAGGGATAGTTCACCTAAACATGAAAATTGTCATCATTTACTCGGCTTTCTTTCTTACTGTATGACTTTCTTTCATGGAACATAAAAGAAGGTAGTTTGAGAAATGTCTTAAGGCCCTGATTTACTCACAGCTAAGTTCTTTTTCAATCTTCGCTTAGAGGTAAAAAAAGAAGTTCAAAATACCTGAGCAGCGTTGTACTGTTAGTGAACATCCCGATGCTGCTTAGAGCGGCGTTTAGATAAATATGTTAATATGTGCTCCATGCTTTTCTCTTTATAACAAAATAAATGCTCCATGCTTTTCTCTTTATAACAAAATAAATGCATATTAAAAATCACAGTGGTCAGAAGACAGCTGTTAAGAAAGCATCCGATTATAGCGATGTAGATATGTGTGCACGTGCTCTGCAATTTGGTCAGTAATATCACGTTTATTTTTATAGCACTTTATACAATTGATTGCTTTAAAGCAAGCAACTTTGCAGTACTAAAGGCGTCCTATTATGCCCTTTTACAAAGTCTTGATTTTGTTTTTGGGGTGTACTAGAATATGCTTTCATGCTTGATTGTTAAAAAACAACAACATTATTTTTCACACATTTTACATTATTACAGCACCTCTCTCCCCAGTCAGTCCCGTTTCGATTAAGCCCCTCCTTCCGAAATATAAAATGTGCTGTGATTGGTTAGCTGGCACAATCTGTTGTGATTGACGTGTTCGGGAAATGTCACGCCCCTTCAGAACCGCAAGCTCTACTCAGATGTAAATATTAAGGATGGCGTCAGTTTCAAACCAATTTGAGCTTGATTCAGACTTAAAGGGATACTTCACCTCTGGGAAGATGAATGTGTATTTAATATTGGTCATTTATATAGTAGAAATGTGAAATTATTTTTGAAATTGAAGCATTCTAGACTGAGAAAAGGCAGAAAATTTATTTTTTACTCATGTGGCTGAAAGACAACATCTCCCAGAATGCACTTGCTTTGCTGCCCTTACGAGGCCACTCCCAAACCACGCCTACCGGTTACAGGCGGCAGAATCCGAAAAATGGATACAACTAGGCTTGCTTTGATACATCGTGTTATTTGATAAATTTCCATCGAAATGGTGCTAAATTGCGTTGCACCGGGATGTACTAGCCTAATGTATATAACACAACTTAGACTTTCACATTAAAAATATGATGCAAGGCAGGACCATGTCAACAGAGTAGCTTAGTAGCTCTGCATATGAACTGTTTTCCTCCAATTGAAATCACTATTTCTCTAAGCTAATACATTATCTAGGCTAATCCATACTCTAGTAACACTAATGGTTTATAAAAAGAACCACAACCAATGTGAGTTATAACTTTTAATTTAAAAAATAATGAATATTAACACTTTTACACTCAAAGCTCTGCGGATTTCAGACTGGTTTTGTACTGATACAAAGCTTAATGCTAAATCCTGAAGTATTCCTTTAATTAAGAATGGTAACAAACAAAACCATGATTCATTTTCCTAAGGGGCAGTGAACAGTCTTACAAAAGCAAGAGCTTACAAAAGCTAAAGTAAACACTAATGTTGGCTAGCAGGCGAGTGGAGCCAAACCCCTTTGCCCTTTGTTTACATTGAGGCAACAACATTAAACTTATAATTGGAACTGTTAATAGAAAACGCAACTATAAATAATAAGACATACTTACGAGTTGTGATCCACAAGCAACAGATCCGTAAAATGTGCAGCACACAGACAAATGTTGGGGGTTATAATGTTCAGGAACAGTGTTTAAAATACATTTTAACCACTCTTAAGTTCGTCAGCCTTAGGAAGGTCAAACTAATGAGTTTTGGAAACAGGGTGGAAAGAACAGGATCTCTTTGACATGGCGACAACACTGTCTTCTCTAACGCAGCTCAACCAGGCCTTGTCCCCTTTTTTTACGTATTCCGTGAGATTATTTATATGAGGAACATTGTGACTTCATAAGATCCGGAAAAAACGCGTTGTAATCAAAACGAGTTGTTCGTTGTAGTTCTTGGAAAGTGTATTCTGTTAAATAAAATATCTCGCTTTGGAGTGGACTTTGAGCTTTGGAACCTTTTTTGATCTTTTTTTTATGCTCAAACAGCAACATAACACACACACCAATGCTATATTAGACCAGATAACTTTTCCAGAAAGTTCACTTTGGCAAGCTGTTTTGAACTCCTGAAACAAACTCAAAACGAACTTCGTTTTGGCCTGATTTTGTTCGAAATGACGTCACAGTATATTGGGGCCTTTAGTGTTATGGTGTTGGAAGTCAATGACCTACAAAACAATTATTTTGAATTGTAATAAAATTTCACAGTGTAAGAGGTTATATGTTGTAGGAAGAAGGAGGCGGGAACCGGCCAACATTCAACAATTTTAATAATAAATAAATAAACAAATACAAAAACGAAAGTAGAGACGGCAGTCCCTCACGGTCGACTGCCGCCACACACAATAAAACAAAACATTAAATAAAATAGTCCAGGCCTGGCCTCTCGCAATCTCCACTGTCGTCGCTCCTCCTTTATGCTTCCGCTCCTCCTTGAGAGATACGAGACCGGTGCGTCGCGCAGGTGTCGCTCATCATCAATCACGCCACCGGCCTCGCGCCGTCCTCCCACGGCCCTCGGCCTCGTCCTGCTCGCCACACACAATATAACTGTTTTTACTGTATTTTTGATTTTGAAAACATAAAAATCCTATTGACCCCAAAGTTTTGTACAGTAGTGTATAAAGTTAAATGTAATCATCTTTGCGTGTCACCATGTTTTCTATTTGCTAGGCCTACAAGCCTGGACGCCTTTGTATTTGGCCACATTGCCCCTCTTATTAAAGCCCCTCTGCCCAGTGGGCAGCTTCAGAAGCACCTAAACCAACTTGATAACCTCTGCCAGTTCTGCAACACCATCCTTAAAAACTACTTTACCGATGCCACCACTGAGAAGAGAATGGACTGTAAGTAGTCACAGCCCCTATAGTACTATATTAATTACAAATATATATATATATATATATATATATTGGTCCTGCTCTGCTCTTTCTTCTTTTTATTAATTTATCTCAACTTCCATTTGTTTGCTGTTGAATCATATAGAATTAAATCATTTAACCAGACATTCATTATTCATCACCTTTCCATTGCTTTCAACCCGAGACATTTGGCTCAAAGCAGATGCTAAAAGACAGTTTAATAACAGCATGGTCTTGGGCCTCGTGGCTATTTTAAGTGATTTGCTATGTCTCTTTGGCTGCACTCTGATTCTACTAATCTTTCTCCCATGTGCGTAAAAAACATCTGCTTTTCTCCAGAATCAGTGTCCTTTCGTCTTTTCTTTTCTTTATCTCTGCCCTCTTGCTAGGTTCACCAACGGCTACCCATGATCCTGTTGATGCAAACCTCCAGAAACTGACACAACTTGTTAACAAAGAGTCCAACCTTATTGAAAAGGTCTTGGCTAGATCTGCTCATTCACTTCTGAATTTAATGTCATAAGAAATTACAGTACATGGTCAAAAGTATGTGGATGCCCAAACAGTTTTCCCACTATGTATTGAAACATGCATGTTGGTATTTTCTCCTATTTGGAATTTTATAAACAAGAGCATAAGTGATGTCAGACACAAATATTGAGTGATGTGGTCTGGCTCACAGTTGATGTCCCAGTTCATCCTAAAGGTGTTCAATGGGGTTCAGGGCTAACCCAGGCCAGTCAAAGACGTCCAACTAGAACCGTTTATTCACTTGCTCTTTACACAGGGGCATTTCATGCTGAAACACAAAAATCATTCAGCATTCTGCTGAAAATGCTTGTCATAAGATGTAAATTTACAGTTAAATAATTATACAATTTTGGACGTGAAAAAGAACTTTACATTGAAAAAAAACATAAATTGGCATTCCCAAAATTCTCTGTGACATCTCATATGATAATTTTCCATTGAAATAACTATTTCTAGTTTCTAGGTTAATTATAACTAGTTTCTTTTTAGTTTTTTTCTTATTAATTATTTATATATCATTAGGGTTTTGTTACATCTCATGATCCCATGATGGTGATTTGTAGAAAAGTTACTTGTGATGAACATTGATTCATCATATGTATTTTTCTTTACCACTGTTTTTAAGGTGTTTGTCTGCATATTATAAAGGTAAAAAAAAAAAAAAAAAATTTTTTTGTAATTTGGTATATTAAATGGATAGACCCAAAGAACAATTCTGTCATCATTCACTAATCCTCAAGATGTTCCAAACCAGTTTGCATTTCTTTCTTCTGCTGAACACAAAAGAAAATATTTGGAACAATACGGTTAATCAAATAGTTGATGGGCCCCATTGACTTCCATAGTATTCTTCAAAATATCTTCTTTGGAGCAGGTTTGGAAAGACTTCAGGGTGAGTAAATGATGACAGAATTAAAATTTTTGGGTGTACTAACATTGTTTTATCTAAGGAAATATATATATATATATATATATATATATATATATTTTTTTTTTTCAGTATGTTGAGTCTGTAAAACGTCTCCGGTTACGCATTATGGTTCCCTGAGAAGGGGAACGAGACACTGTGTCCTCTAGGAGACTATAGGGAATGCCTCAAACGTGACTGGTATCTGAAGCATGTGTTTAAACACGACAATGTCATTTGCCGACGACAATCCATGACGTCACTAACTATGCAACCGTGAACACCTGTATTAGACAACACCAAATTTTTGTCTGAAGGAGACGTAGACATGCAGGCCTGATGCATGGCAATGAGACGCAGTGTCTCGTTCCCTTTCTCAGTGAACCATGGTTACATGCGTAACCTGAGACATTCCCTTTCGAATGGGAACTCGCACTGCACCCTCTAGGACACTATGGGGAACAAATGCCCACTCCGCAATGCTGAGGGAATGACTGCCTAATTGGCTGTGACAAGCACAATGAGGCACAAATGAGGTCTCAATGGACCAACCCTGTCTGACCTAGAGTCAGCATCTTGCAAGGCCAGCACTCCTGAATTTAAGGGTGCTCAACCAATGAGAAGGGATGCTATCTTCTCAAAACCACTTCTCACCAGGGCCCAGAGATGGGTTCCTCTGGGGAGCTGAGGATTCAGCAGGATGACCCTCAGAGTGAGGTGTGTCCAATGCTCACCCAAGACTGTGATCCCCAACTTTGACTGGAGTTGAACCAGGGGCGATAGACCCTAATAAAGAAACCCCATAAAGGAAGGGTGAACTACACCTACTAGAGGACACTAGTAAACAGCTGCATTAGTGTCAGCTGTGCTAGAGTCTCCGAAGTCTGCCTGAGCCGGAACAGAGCATAGAGGACCCAAAGAGAAGGTATTCCAGTAACGGGGAGGGTACACTCCACGTTAGCCCCTGCAGTCTGAGGATCATATCGAGCTCTCTTCTGGGAGCAGAGGACCTGCTTACAGAACCCCAAAGGGTAGGCCCAAGCTCAACCAGGCTATCGATTTCCAGAGCACATGAGGAAACTGCCTGCTTAGGGGGACCCAAGTGGGGGAGGCTTACACAATGTTCTCTGAGGTTGTAGCTGCCTCCTCCAGAGGCTGGGGTTTAAGCAGGCACCTCCTTTGTGAGCATTTAAATTAGAGCGCTTTGCTGTGGCCTCCGTTCTCCTGAGCTCGACCTAGACAGTGACATCAAGTGATGAGCTGTCTTTAAGGTTGAGTATGGTTTGGCCTTCTCTCATTCTAGAGATTCATTCTTCTGAGGCCTCCGCTCACCTGAGCTCCGTCTAGACAGACATCAAGTGTGTCGGCACTCTGTGGGCCATTGTGATAAGCTGTCTTAAGGTGGAGTGTAGTTTGGCTTCCTCTCACTTTAAAGAGTCGTTCTGCTGAGGCCTCCGCTCTTCCGGGTTCCATTTAGACAACAACATCAAGTGTGTCTGCCCTCGGTGGGCCGCTGTAGTAAGCTGGCTTCAAGGTGGGCATTGTTTGGCCTCTTCTCACTTTAAAGAGTCGTTCTGCTGAGGCATCCGTTCACCTGAGCTCTAGCTAGACAGTAACATCGTGTGTTGGCCCTCTGTGAGGCTGCCTTGGCAAACTGTCTTTGAGGTTGAGTATGGTTGAGTATGGTCGCTCTACTGAGGCCTCCACCTTTTGAGCTCTATTACAGCAACATCTATTTCCAAGGTATGGTGAGTTGCCTTCCACCTCTGTGTGGGTTCCCTTAAGAAACAGGTAGCTCCCTTATGATAACCCCTTGTGATCAACTAGGGCCAGCCACTTCCTTTTTAAGGGGCTTTAGTAGGCGGCTCCCTTTTTGATTAGCTGAAGTTTCAAAGTCGCAGGGGTTATATAAGCAGGCGGCTCCCTTGTGGTAATGAAGTCATAGCTGCCTCCCCCAGATTCAGAATTGGGGTCCCCGAAGCAGGAGGCTCCTTTATGTATCTAGAGTAAACTGCCTTCTCTGTTTCGGATTCTTTAACAACAACTTCCCTGAAATGCAAACTTTAGCATATTTGCAAGATCGTAACTGCCTCCACCTATAGTGGGTTCTTAAGTAGGTGACCCCCTGCTTTAATTCTGCGTCCAATTTCTCCGAATTAGATCCAGCAAATTAATCAGTAGCAGTACCAGAGCTAGCAAGAGGAACTTAAACAAAAAATATTCCTATTCGACGACTCCTGCGCTCTGCCAAAAGGATGTCCCACATCCGAAGAGATTAGGGATGACGCGAATGGAGATATTCATTGAGAAATCCTCACAATGCGTGCATTCAGCTCCCTAGAGATCTAAACCTGCATACTCCTCATTCATGGACTCACTCACTAGACGCACATCCTTCCTGACAAAATTGCTTGGCAGAGTGTTTCTTCATGATATTCACGTTCACACGCACGCAAACAAACCGATCCCAAAGACAAGAAATTGATTACGGCTAATACAGGTGCCCTTTATACTCACACCGTTAGTGACGTCACGGACTGTCGTCGGCCAATGATATTGTCGCGTTTAAACGCGTGCTTCAGACACACGATCACACTGGAGGTATTCTCCATAGTGTCCTATATAGGATGCAGTGCGAGTTCCCATTTGAATGGGAACTTAAAATGTTAATACCATATTTTTACAGTAAAGTTCTGCCAAACACAGCTAATGTTTGTTTACCGTAAATTTCACCGTTTTTTTGTTTTGTTTTGTTTTTAGTGTATGGCTGTATTTGTAATTTTATTAACCTGCTAGTAATGCTGCTGAGATACAAACAAGAGGGTGTCCGCATACTTTTGGTCATGTAATGAATCTCAGAACCTATAAACATCATCTTACACATCTTTTGGAATTGACACTTGTCCTGTGAGTCTTATCTTTATGTCTTTATGTCACAGATGGATGACAATCTTCGCAGCAGTCCGCAGCACAGACCGCACAGACATGAGGCCAAACCCTCGGCCATGGCCAGCGAAAGGAGCTCAACCTGAAAACCCTATCTAAGCACTGACTTTACCATTATTTATTTTTTTCCCATGGAAATTGAAATAATTTCCAAATCATATTTAAAATCGAACACATTGATGAGGTCATAATAAATGAATGCTAGTTTTTCATAATGAAGTTGCTGAAATGTTGGTTAACTTGGTTTGAGTGTCGGATTTTGTAATACAACACCATAAAGGGCTTGTTAAATAGGCAGTCGTCATCTAATGTATATACGTAAGAATCATTAGCACATGTGGCAACTACATACATATACAAAAAGGGAAATGCTGACAATTGATATCTTGCGATACAAATTTTATTGTTTAAAGGAGATGCAGCTTTTATTTCAGTTGCATTGCTCTTGCTCCTGGCTGTCTTTGGCTTTCTCTTCAAATAATAATTGTATAGGGAACTTTGAATGCACAAGCTTGCTTTCTAAATGCAAAGGCTTTATGTATAAGTTTTATGGTGTTTTATTTTTTCAATCCTGCCCAAACACAATTACAGGTATATTATAAGCTTTACGGTTGATAGACTGTTTCAGCTTTTATTTCATCATAGTGTTGTTTAAAATCAAATTAGGATTTAAAATTTTACATCTTAAAGGTTCACAACAGTTACTTTAGTGCATATGGCAGGTGAAATATCATGCATGTATTGGCATTGTGCCTCATTACAGCATAACTTTCTCTTAGTTTAACTGATTTTTCCATTTCTCTCACTTGATTATGTAACCTTCAAATTCTTGATTTTTGGTGCAAAGGGATCTTGAAATCTGATTGTGTGTACTGTGTATACATTTATTGTTCTTCAAATTCCTCGGGAGGTTTTCTACATGCAAGGAATGCCTTAAAAGTCCAGTGCTGTGTCACGCCATCTCACCTGACTTTATTTTTGATGTAATCATTATTCATTGTCTCTCAAGAAATTGTATATTTCGAAATATATGAGTGTACAGCAATGTTCAAATATATGTATGTATATATGTATGCAAGAAAGTAAAATTCTTTGAAATAGACAAGTTAACATGTTTATCTTATTCTGCTGATACATTTAGTTGTTTACACCAAATGTAAAACCCTCAACATTTGTATTGTGGAAAGTACATCCTGACGTAACTTAATAACTCATTTATGCTATTTAAATGGACAATACTAACATATTGCACAACTTTCCGTTCATTTATCATTTAAATGTGGCAGTAATAGAGAGACAGCTGTAAGGATTCAGGGCGGATCTAATCCGTGGGGAATTTGCATAAATTAATTAATAATTGGTAATTAATAATTATTCATACATGTTTGGATTAGATCAATCTTACATTGAATTTACTCTCCCTCTAAGGGAGGATCTATCACTTTACCTGCATGCATACGTGTATCCTTGCATTTTAACTACAAGTTGATTGCTTAGATCACGTTTTACAGACAGGTAAAATTTAATTAGCTCAATTGTCAGATTAATATTGGGGAAATCCCACATATCATCTTACTTCATAGGATTTCAGGAAACGCAATTCTCTGGCCAGAAGAACTGGGTTTTCTGCCCTATAAACACATACTCTTTAAAAGTATTTTTAATTTATAAAGCCGTAGCTTGATCTATTCACTTCAGAGACCTGGAGTATGAGCAGACACAGTAACATCAATCAAAATGAATATAATGGATTTAATAAAGGCATGACTACTTATGTATTTACTACGGTTACATGGGATATATGTATTTACAAACACATAGACAACAATGAACAATACAATAAGACATCAATGAACGAGAAATGCATAAAGTTTGGACAATGGATAACGTACACGCGTGAGCGAGTAAGAGAGAGAGGAAAGGGGATGGGGAGAGAGAGAACAGAGAAATTGGGAGAATTTCATTGGCAGGAAGACATTCACCTCTCCGATTACAACACGGAACATCATCTTAAAACTTCTTAGAAGCTCTATAAAGAGATTTATACTTGCAATCAACGTATGTTATGGTTTCTCTCTGTGCCGAAACAAAACATTCCTGTACGGCCCTGTCTGGCCGCGTGAGCTGAGTCCTTTGGGTGTGAGGAAGCGTCACGTGGGTTGCGTGGCGCGCGTGTTGAACGGAGGTTTACAGTCTTTGTTGTAACATTTCCAAAGGGAAATAGTTCGGCTAAGTTCGTTTCACTTCGTGGAAGTGAACTGAGTCGGCTACGGAAAACAAAACTTTGACTAACAAAAAGGGAATAAAGATCTCTACGGGGAAATCACGCGGAGTTAACGTTGCATCTTTCCATGGCTTTGAAGAAGCGTGTGTGTCTCTCGGTCCGGCGCGTCACGTGGTCACGTGCGCGTGTTTCTCCTTCAAAGAGAGCGCGCGCTCGTTTAAAGGTCCCTGGTAGATGGATTTGCTGAAGAGATATGTCACGGTCACGGGGTTTCCTTTTCAATCGTCGATTGGAATTAAACACAGAGACTTATCTACAAATGAAAAACACAACTAAACTAGAAACAAATAAAAGAAAGGCGAAGAGCTCGCCCGGAGGCGAGACGTTACATCATGACACGGGAGGAAGAGAGCGAGCGCAGAGGAGAAGCGTCATTTATCACACTATGAGAAATCCAGCCTCTTCCTGTTGGCTTGGCCAATTAGAGGGTTGGAAGTTTACAGGCGGGACTTTGGGTTTATGGCCCTTTGTCTCCAGAGAGAGACATCTGAAACCCTAATCTCGTCGGTTGTTTAAGAGAAGAATCTTCACAATTCTTATAATACTAATGTGTCACAAAGTTTAGCAAAATGTAATGTCAATTAACAAATGGGGAACGAAGATTGGAGTTTATCGAGACCAAACTTGCCACCAATGGATTTGGTTAAACATTAGTTGGCAAAGTTTGAACATTATCCCATTAAGAGTTGTCGAGAAACATAGACCAAACCACAGAAAGGCAACTCATGAAATAGGGAACTTAGATACGTCGTTCATACAATTCTCAAGTGGATATATAATAGCATATATATATGAATACAGGATTCATTTCTCCTCCTTGGTTAGAATTCAGAGAGAGAGAGAGAGAGACATACTTCTCTGACATTCCTGGTGCGGTCGTAAATGCTGTTATCTAAGGCCCCAGGCTCTGACAGCATGTTAAGTTTTGGTTCTTACTGTCCCCAAAAGCTGGTGCACATAGAATCATAACTTTTACTGTAATTTCTTGTATCTGATTAATTCCGCTGGATCATGAGAATTAAAACAAGACCAAGAATGACGTATAACAATACTGGGGAATAGACAGTTAAATGTAAAAATGCATAATGATAAAGTCACAGTTATTCCAATGTGACATGGGCAAATGGACACACATAAAAACACATCAAATATATCTGGTTGAATGTCTTTTAAAGAAAAGAAGTTCCTTTGGGACCTTCCAAAAATGTCATAAAATGTCTTAATGTCTTGTAAGCGGACACCGCGCTCTGTCCTGAGTGTGGGTGTCAGCTGTGGGGGAGGTGTGTGTGTGTGTGTGTGTGTGTTTTTTCAAGTTCCAGGCCTTTTGGAGCTAAAGGCTTTGGGATTTTAGCACGAAGGTATTTAGTTATTCAGATTCACCCTGGCCCAGTCCTTACAGTCCCCCTTTTTGTCTGATGAAGTCCCTGTGTGGACTTAATCGGACAACAATCATCACAATGGACGGATGGCAGGTGAATCATGACTCATGCAGCAGGTGGTTATTAGGGCTGAGGATTCAGCTCTATGAGGTTCGAAGCTGCCTCTGGCCTGGTCTCTGACTTGGCACTCCCTTTTTGCGGGTTTCGTCCGAAACCTTTCGTGAGCTTGGCTGAAGATGTTTGTATCTCGTTGAGTCTCCTGTATAGGATGAAGGTCAAGCCCAGTGTCAGGGTGTGTCTGACTACCATAGAGGTACACCGTGCAGTGTCGGCTGCGGTCCAGGCTTGGACAACAGGTGAGGTAGTCAGAATGGGTAGTAGAGACACAGCTTGGAGAGCTGTGTCGATAGGAGCAATGTCAATTAGCTGGGATCACCCCCCCTTTCGCAAACCACAACTCCCGTTCTGGAGTTAGGGTGAAAGTGTGGTACCTGGAGAAGGATGGGATTTCCAGTTTTAATTTGTACTCTTTGCATGGAAGATGGTATCATGCCAGGTCGTCAAGGTGAAGGATGGCACTTTCCGGTGCTTGGATTCACAGGCTCTAGTGGAGCGAGGTGACACAGGTGTCAGTGTCATTCTGGTCGTAAGTGAGTGCAGCTGTGCGCACAGGAGTGTTAGCGAGCCGCCTGTCACTTACACTCTCTGCTTGGGTCTTGATGCCTTGAGTGCGTAGCTTGGCTTCGGCAGGGCAGCGGGTGTCGCTGATCTGCAGCCCGCAGATTCCGTCAGTGTTGTCTCTGAGGAAAGGCTTGTTAGGGCAGAGATAGTGAATTTCTTTGGTCAATGTGCACACGTACGGGTTCGGAGCTTAGGACGGCTTTGTGTTGCTGTCGTTGCAGTCAACCCCGTCCGGCGTGTGGATCTTGATGTGAATGTTATTTTTCAAAATCTGACCTTGACAATGTTCTTGAGCCGGTAGATTCGGCTTGACTCTATGATGGGCAAGTTCGAGAGAAAGCCCCCCAACTTCTCTGCTTGTAGTCGGCGCAGAGAGGGATGGCACTACCCAGAGAGTAGGAAAGGTGTATTTGTAAAGAGTCAGTTGGCGTGGTGATGGCGGACGCCAGCACGGTTTTCACGAGGCTTAAGGGTATCAGGTGCGGTGGAATTCTACCCCTGGCGAGGCTGTCGATGGAGGAGTTCACCCCCTGCAGCAGGTTTGTCATCAGGGCTGTTACCAGCTGAGTTTGGGCAAAGTCATTCTGGAAGACAGTAAACAGCTGTTTCATGGAGTGAGTGTTGGAGTGCATGGGGTTCAACGCTGTGAGTGTTTAAAGTTACCACAGTTCCCTTTAGTGTCTTGTCGATGGTCTGCAGGGATGCACTCTGTTGTGAGTGCTCGTGACAGTCATTTTCTCAAGTTGCTTGAGCATGTGTTCAACCACGGTCTCAGCGTGAGTGCGGGAGTCCTTTGTCCATCGGCACCTACCCAGCTGTATTGTGTTGTTACGCTGGGGTAGTGTGTTCTGTAGGCGTTGTAAGGATCAGGTGGCACATTCACTTTCTGAGTGCGGGTCCGGCAGAAAAGGAGTCCTGGTGCCAGACCTGGTGAGATGTCCGAGTGCGGTTGCCCTCTGGTTGGCTGGAGGCACAGCAGCATCCTGGTAAAAGTGAAAGGGAGAGAGAAAGAGAGGAAAAATTTCGCCGGTATGCCACTTGCTTCGGTGTCTTGCAAGTGTCTCTGGTGCTGCGGCGTGCAGCGGCATACATTGGCATTACCCCCCTTGTGCACTGTGGCATCACAAGCTGTGGCGCGGTGATGGCATCAGGTGCAGAACGCTGAATGTTGTTTAGTGCACGCAGCATGTGCTTGTCGACGCAGGTTGGCTGAAGGCACCGGTTGTCGGTGGGTGCAGACGGCGGTCGTGGGTGGTTGGAGGGGTAGAGAGGTGGTTGTCTCAAAGTTCATTTGGTTAGTCACAGTCTTTGGTGAGCTGAAAGGTGCAGGGTAGCAAGTTCACATCTCCATTTGGTGCTGAGGCTGTGCCTTTATGGCTGGCTGAGGGAGTTCTTGTGACCTCTGTGACCTGCCAGTTAGGTTCTCTTGACCTGTGTGACTGGAGGGGGAGGGGTTTTTGAACTTGAGCTCAGACATTCAGTTGTTTAGGGTCTATTAAAGGCTCAAAGCGATTTAACAGAACTTGGCCAATCAGAAGTGGGTACGTGATCGGTACACTGGGTGAACGGAAGCTACCTGTTTTGAGCCAAGTGTTGTTTTGGCTGTAGGATTGCACGTTCAGCTCACATGTTTGGGACTTGAGAGTTCGTTTTGATGCTCAGCTGTAGCACTGAGTCTTTCAGAGAGTTGGGCTGACATTAGCATGGCGTTCGAGCTAGTGTCTAGCAGGCCTTCAAGGCTCAAATCAATGTCTCTGGTGG